CCTAGTTAAAGGGGAAGACAAGCTTTAAGGAGAGCAAATTCTAAAGAACAAACCTTAGGATGAAAAGGTGGTAAGCTTGAAGTGTTCTACTTCATCTTCTAGCTGCTGTTAAAATCCTAATACTTATAAAACTCATAAAATACGAGCTCTGTTTTGTTCAGTGACAGCGCCTGCAGGGATTCTCCAGCGTTTTTGGGATTGCTCTAACTGGAGCACAGAGACATTTAGATCTTTATCAGTTTTGAGAAGCATGAACTGCGCTGATTTGTTAAGCAAAGAACCCGGGGTTGAAAACAGGCGTCTCTGTAAGGAGCTGCTCTCCTCCAGGCCTTTTAGGTTGCATTTTATTTGAGCATCCTTGAAGCAAGGAATCACTCGGCTTCTTGTGGCTCACCCAGTAATCTCTGCACCTTGCCTGGCATGGGAAAAGGGGTGTGCATTTAGATGTGCAAAAGTCGGAGACAAGTCTTCTAGGGTAGTTTATCCCAGCCTTTCCTGGCAGCCAGGGCATCCATTTGGTGCCATCAGCTGCCCCAAGGCAGAGCTGTGCAGTGTGATGTTGTGTTCCAGTTGCTCAGTTTAAATGAATCTGTCTGATTTGAATAAGAATAGGGAGGAGGAATAGTTCATGGCTTCAATTTAGTTGTTTTGACTCTGGTTTTATGCATCTTTGTCACTACAAAGCTGGTGTCTGGGTGGTTCCTGACCCTGTTAAGGTGCTATGAGCAGTTTCCTTGTTGATCCATCCCCTCCTGACAGGTTTGTCTTGAAGGAGCCTTCAAACAGAGCATGTGGGAGCACAGAGGGTGGTAGAGGGTGGCCAGTCAGCACCTTGCTGGGAATGGTGTACTCTGGCTCCCCTTGCCATCTCTGTCTAGTATCTGCAAGCCAGATAAATGGGTCCTGAGCAGGGAAAGAAAAAGTTTGGGCTGTCTGTAGCTTTCCAGAATGGGTGTTTGAGGGAATATCCAAGACACTGTTTAAGTGAGGCAGGTTAGAGACAAGCCTGCTTGTGCTGATTCCTCCCACCAGCAGCAGGCACATGGAGCACAGCAGTGTGAGGAGCTGGGTCAGAACAGACCTGGCTTGATTCATGTTGTGTAGAAAGGGGCAGATAAGGCAATTTTAATAAAGCTTCCACTTAATAAAGGGCAAATGACACCTTTGATCATGTTTCGGGCCTGGATGCAGTCTCAGCATGGTGGTTTCAAAGCCTATTTTAATTGCCCCATCAGCCCCTCCTTTAAGCCAGGCCCTTTTCCCCTTCTGTGTGTGTAACTAAACATCTCTGACCCTTTTGAGTGTCCCAGGTGGCAGTGAGCAGAAACCCAAATGAATTCCCTTCTCTTTTTGGTGCCTTTGTCTCAGGCTTTGAATAAAAGTCTATTTGAAGGAGCTTCTTTTTTTTTTTAAGGAGCTTCTGAGTTTTTTCTTTTTCCCCAAGGGACAGACATTCCCTGCCCTTGAGATCAGCTGGGGACTGTCTCCCTGTCCCTGGATGCCACCTCTGGAGGTCACAGCTGAAGCAGAGAACTGTGAGCGAATATCTTGGTTTCGAGCCCTTGAGATCAATGGAAGAAAAGCCTAACAAGGGATGGGAGAACTGGAAGAGCTCCTTCAGGTCCCAGAAATCTCCTGAAGGCAGGATGGAGAACTTCCAGACAGTCTGGTGCCTGTGTGTCTGTGCAGTTCGGAGCTGAGTGAGTCATGGCTGGGTCCTGGTGCTTACAGCTTCTGGGTGCAGAGGGATGTTTGGGGAGTCCCGCGCCCCAAATTCACTTGCTGAGGCCTTGCCCTGTGCTGTTCAGGTCTGAACAGGGAGCAGGGACCTGTGTGTTGTCCCTTGGCCTTCCCTAAGTTGAAATGGGATTGCAACAGCCAGGGAAGTGTCTTGATATGGGAACTCTGGGCTGTGCAGGCCTGTTGCTGATGGAAAACAGCAGGAGGAGGGAGAGGACCATCAGAGCAGGTTCAACCCTTGTTGTGAGACAGATACTGAACAGCTGCAAAGTACCAAATGTTTCAGGCTCTGTTTGGTGCTCAAATGTGGGAGAGATCCGTCTGCTTCTTGCACTTATGGTGAGGAGGGAAATACCCTCGCTGAGAATCCAAGGGAAATGGGAGCTGGGCCAGCACTGAGCTAATTTACCTACTGGCACTTCTGCATCTCCCCAACAAATGCCAAAGCCTAATACAATTCAAGGATGCCATTCTACCGTCGGCCTGGTTCCACCAGTCTGTCCTCACCGGCTGGTCCCAAGTAGGCTCACACAAGTGTTCTCAAACGGCACAAACACACCAGGCTGGAGCTGGGAAGGCTCAGAAACGTGATCACACGAGTGGGCCTCCTGTGCTGCACCTCTGCTTCGCGCTGCCCAGCAGGTCTGGGGCACGTGCACTCATCTTGGATCCGAAGGATTTGTCCCAGGAGTATAAGTAGCATTGAAAGGTGCTGGGCTGGATGGGAGAGGTGAAAGCAGGTCCATGTCTTCCGGGACTCTGGCTTGCTCAGAGTTTATTGCTGTATATTAAATACTATTTTTGAAGATTGAGGGGAAGATGAGGGAGGGGGAGGGATGTGACGATGCTGTCCCCAGTCTGATCAATGGGATGCTACTGCAGGTTATTGATAGGTTTTGGTGTTTTTTTTGTTTGTTTCTCAAAAAGTGCTTTATATATAAAAAAAAAAATTCAACAAAACACATGCTTTCCTCCCTCCTAGAAACAGTGCTGGCTGATCAGAACATGTGAATAATCTTTTGCAAACATCAAAGGTCTCTGCTAAAGAGTTTGTGTGATGGAGATTTGAAGGCGAGGGGCAAAGTACAGCTTGAACCAGTTTTTAACTGGGAGAGTGTGAATCCAGGAAATGCAGGATCTCTGCCCTGGAGTTGTTCCCAGTCACAAGTAAGGGGGATATGTTTTTCCTGTGCTGCCATGGCTGTTCTGTCACACCATGGCAGTTCCTGTGCTGGGGTGCTGGAGCAAAACAGTGGCTGGAAACTTGCTGGCAAGTGAGGGCTTGAATTTTTGTGGTTTCCTCTGGGGCTTCGTGTCTTCAGAGCTTTTGGTAAAGCAGCCCTGGAGCCTGTGAGAGCAGAGGCAGGATTTGTGCTCGTGGGAGGAGACAGTAGCCAGGACTGTGAGAGGTGACAGTGGTGTTTGGGTCCCATCAGTGCAGCACTTTTAGCATTGGCAGATGGTCCCACCACTCCATAGTGCCTGGCTGGGGATATGTGGAAGTAACCCATACCCTTGGCATTAAGGACACATCACAAACTAGGTAAAGCTGCAGGTCTGAGAGTTACCTGTAAAGACTAAAGCAGTGTGGGGAGAGATCCCCATATGTGTCTGTCACCAGTACAAAGGGGTTTTAAGGAGGATTTTTTTATTTTACTGTCCGTTGCTTTGTTTCTAACAACTTGCAGTGACATTTTTTAGTTTGTTTTGTAGCGAGCTTGGCCCCTGGGTGAAAAGCACAGATATCTATTTCTGATTGTGTCGGCTTTGCAGGGACTAGTTTGGGGGGAAAGATGGGTGTAGGGGTGGGCTATTTTATTTTTGGTACACGGTAGCAGTTTTATTTTTTAATTTCCCCAGGATGTTTGGTTGAGGGAATGTTCTGAAATCTACTGTCTGGCAGTTTGACCAGCAGTGTGCTAAAGGAAAATAAACAAAATTATATTGTCACTTGGATGAGATGGTCCCTCTTTTCTGGTGGTAGGGGCAGAGGAGCCCCCTCTGGTTTTTAAACCCAGAGCCTCTCCCTGACACGGCCTCCGCCACAGCCCTGGTGTTGGCACAGCCCTGGTGTTCTCTTGCCAGTCATTTTGGGCTATTAAGTGCAAGTTGAATGGTACAACATCCTGTTAAAAGTGCTGATGCAGACCTTGTTGCTTCCTGCTCAGATAAGGAGCGCCAGAGATGTAATCTGCCTTCTGGGGCTTTGCAAGCTGCCCCCGTTTCAGCTTGAAACTGCATCGGAGGTGGGCAGGCGGGGCTGGAGCTGGAGCAGAGAGAAGGCAGCACCTTTGTGTTCTGGGTGCCTGATCTGGGGGTACAAGGGGCCCTGGCCCCATGCAGAGCAGCTGTTCTTCCAGACAGCCTGGCTGTGTCCTTCCCAAGGCACAGGATGGAGGGACCGACCCCATGCAGTGAGGAGGGTTTAGGAGCATTGGCTGGACAGGCTTTTGTGAAATAGCTTTTGGTTGGCAGTAGGAGGTGCGTTCTGCTCACAAGCAGCAGCAAACATCACTAACCACTGCTCTAAATGTGCTTCTGCTCATGGTGAGCGTGTTCAGTGTTGGCTGGAGACTGAAAAGAGGATGCAGATGTTTCTTGTTCTTGCCCCAGTTCCCCAAAGGGCTGGAGGTGGGCTGGTGGGCTGCCCCTCTTTGGGAGGAAATGCATCCTTTCCTCCATCTGATGCTCCTGTGAGTCACTCCAAGTGGGACCTCCCCAGTCCCTCCCACCAGGCTCAGGACGCTCGTCCGGGGTCTGCTGCTGTCACCTCCGCTGTGCCCGGGGTGTCCCCAGGCCCTGCAGCGGGGGGGTGTCGCTCCATGGCATCCCCTTGCTGACACCGTACCGGCTCCCCGAAAAGTGCCCTAAACAGGCCGTCCCCATGACCACACCGGGGCTCTCGGGGGACACCCGCTCTGTCATCACCGGCCGTGCTTTCGTCAGCGGGGTGATGCCAGCGAGGGGTGATGCCCGGCTCCCCAGGCAGGAGCGGGGCGGGGGCTGGCCGCCGGCAGCGGGGCAGCGGGAGGAGGGCTGGTTTTGTTTGTTTCTTGTGGTTTTTTTTCCCCCTCAAGTAACTCCCCTTCCCCTCCGGCCCGTCCCGCTGCGCACCCGGGGGTCCCGATGCCGCGGCTTTGGGGTCACCCATCCGGGCGCGGCCGCGCCGGGCCCTGCTGAGCTTCGGGCGCGGCGTTGCCGGGCAACGGCCCCCTTGCCCCGCCCCGCCCCGCGCTCCCATAGCTACCGAGGCGGGCGGCGGCCATCTTGGCGGCGGCCATGAGCGGCTCCAGGGCGCGGGCGGCGGCGGCGGCGGGGCCGGACAAGAAGCCGCCGCCGGGATCCGCGGGGCCGCTGAGCCGCCTGCGGGGCCGCCGCGGATCGGCCGACGCGGCGCCGCGGCCGCCCTGGACCGAGTCCGAGTTGCTGGCGCTGGAGACCGTCCGGCCCGAGCACGTCCTGGGGCTGTGCCGGGTGACGGAGAGTGAGTGCGGGCCGGGCCCGGCGCGGCGGGGGCTCCGCGGGGCTCTGCGGGACGGGCCCCCGGGGCGGGAGCGGCGGGTCCCCGGGGGGAGCGGCAGGGAGGGAGCACTCGGGCGGCGGTGGCCGCAGCAGAGCGGGGGTGTGCCCACCGGCAGCTTCCTTACAACTTCCAGAAAGTTTGAGGTGTTTGGGTGTTTTTTTTTGTGGGTTTTTCGTTTTGTCTTTGTTTTCTGCTGGGATGCTGATCTCTGCTTTTCTGCCCCGATCCTTTCCCTTTCTCCTTCCGCTACCTGGCACCTACCGTGCCTTTGTTTCTTCTATCCTTAACTTTGTCCTGCTTTCATGAAGCTTCTGCAAAACAATGAGCCCCTTAACGGGCTGGCGGTAGCAAAAAAGGAAATTAATTTGATAAGTGATCAGGGGTATTTTGAAATGTTACTATATGTTTTTTCTCTCTTCTAGATTATTTATGCAAACCTGAGGACAACATTTACAACATTGACTTCACCAGGTTTAAGATCCGGGACCTTGAAACTGGAACAGTGCTGTTTGAAATTGCAAAGCCGTCTGCCTCAGGTACGTCACACTAACATTGGAGGGACAGTAGAGACTCAGAGAGCTGAGAAGTTGCAATGCAGGACCCATGCAAACCAAGCAGAAAGGTCCTTTGATATGTCCTGGTGACTGAATTCCTTGCCTTTAAGCATAGGATTGAGTTTATCTCTGCTGAGAAACTTGTCATAAAAATGTGATTTTCGTGAGATGGGGGAGTCCTATCAGCTGCAAATCTTTCCTTTTTGGACTTGATATGGTACAGAGTTGGTTTCATGTGCTTTCATGTGATGGGGTATATCCTGTGAGATCAGCTCTGAAGCCACCAAATACCAACTGTCACTGCAAATCTTTTAGATTTTTACTTAGTGCCAGTATAAGAATCAGACCAATTATTAAATGTATTTATGTTCAGTACCTAAGCAATAGCCAGCCTGTGCTGATGCACTGGCTGGCCAGTATCACCTTACATGGACACACAGTATCAGCAGAGTAACTCTGAGCTGGTGTGTTTTCTAGAGCACGATGAGGAGGATGAGGAGGACAGCAGTGAACTGGACGCGAGTGCAGGTCGCTTTGTTCGGTACCAGTTCACCCCAGCGTTCCTCCGGCTTCGGACCGTTGGTGCAACGTGAGTAGGGATTCATGGAATGAGGGGAGAGTCGGGTGTTTACAAAGTGTCTTTTGACAGTTTATAACAAAACTGTGTCAAAGACTGGAGAGGGCCCATCTTACACTACAAATATCGATGTCTCTCTCTGGAATGATCTGTTGCACACTTGTGTAGCCTCAGGTCCAAGGCTCTGTTCTTCCCAATAGGAAGAGAGGTATATTATCTTAGCTGCTTTTTCCTGCTTTCTGTGTGCAGAGTGGAATTCACAGTGGGAGAAAAGCCGGTGTCAAACTTCCGAATGATTGAGAGGCATTACTTCCGAGATCGTCTGCTGAAGAACTTTGACTTTGATTTTGGCTTCTGCATCCCCAGTAGCAGGAACACATGTGAACACATCTATGAATTCCCTCAGCTCTCAGAAGACCTTAGTAAGTACCTCCTTTGCCACGCTGAGTGGTGTTTTGTTTGTGTGCATCTGCTCATTTTCTCCCTAACTCTACTTGTAAAAGAAGTTGTGACTGGGATGGAGGCGACAGGAACAAACAGATACAGGTTCCTGGTTTAAGCAGTGTGTAATCTTGTCTGAATTACACATTTGTGCTGCAAAGCCTCCTCCTTTGAAAATGAAAGCCTAAGACAACCTGTGCTAAGTCACAGGCTGCGAGAACTGATCAGAGTCAGAGGGCTGACACACCTAATGCCTCGTAGTGTAGCCCAGAAGAAAACAAAATCCTGAAAAGGGATTCTTTTGGTAGCCACCCATCTGTTTTCAGTGCTTGCTTTGTTAGGGCTTGAGCCTCCTGCTTTGGAACAGAACTGAGGGGGTGTGTTTGAGCCTGCCTAGATCTCTGCAAATACACATTGCATGGGGTATGTTTGACCTCAGGGGGTGGATAGAGCAGGAGCACGTGAGCCCTCCTGGGGCTGCCTGGATGCAGGAGGAGACACAGGGTTTGTACCCTGCCTGTGTACGTGTGGGGAGTGCTCCTTCTGCTTACAGAGGTGATCACTGCTCTGCTCCAGTCACGGCTCTGGCAGTTGCCAAGGTCCTTTTGAGTAAAATTGCTTGATCCCCCTTTGTTTGCTTTTAACAGCACTTGTCTTGTGAATAGGAAGAAAGGGCAGGCCGGAGCCTTTGAAGTGCGCTCAGCAGCAGTTGGCTTCTCTCCCTTGGGTAGGGCAGAGCATCAGCCTGGTAAATGCAGTGGAGTGGCAGAGCCCTTTTTATCCTGGCTGTGGCAGGCTGTTGAATGTAATGAAGCTTTCTCTTTACAGTCCGTCTGATGGTTGAAAACCCGTACGAGACGCGCTCGGACAGCTTTTACTTTGTGGACAACAAGTTGATAATGCACAACAAGGCCGACTATGCTTACAATGGGGGACAGTAGCCATCCTGTCTGCTGGATGCTGTGATGCCATTAACCATTCCAGATGTGCAGGAGCGGACTAGAGTTGCTGTCTCGTGCAACAAGGCTTCTTGCCAAACCTTTTCTCCGTGCATGAGGCTGAGGACATGAAGCAAAGGCGAAGGCTCCTGAAGGAAATCTCCCTGCAACACTTCTCTATCCGACACTCGGCGTATCCTGCCTCTCCTCCTGTGTTCCTGGCTACCTTCTGATACCTTGGTTAGGTCATGGATAAGAGGCACAATTCTTGCTCTTAGTCTTTATAGTTAGGTTGCACCTTAGTGCTTCTGATGCTTCACCTCTTGGGTGACTGCTCTCTTTGAAGAGGTCAGATTGTTTGTGTTAAGCTTTTTCTTAGCTGAAAAAAATCTTACCCCTTCAAGTAACCAGTGATGCCTGAAGAGCAGATCTCTTCTCTAGTTGGATAGATCCTCTCTTTAGTGCACAGTGTTTTAGTTTGTAGCGTGGCTGACATTGCTTTTTAGGGTGCATCCCAGTATTCTGCAGTGAGAAAGATAAACTAAGAGACTTATTCCGCTTCTAAACAGTGCAGGAATCTTCCATCTGCCTCTGGGGGCCTGAGCTGCCCCTGAGAATAGTTTAATCTGTGTTTTGCAAGAGATTTCACTAGAGATACGAGATAGGGGAAAAAGGTTTTATCGCTCTGATAGCATTTCTCTTTGAGCTCTTGTCAGCAAATTGTTGCATGTTAGAGCTAAGAGGTCAACCTTAGAGCTGAAGTTAATCTCACTATGTTTACCATTTCTCCTGCTTCCCTTTGTTGTAGGAATTTTGGCTCTTGCTACAGAATGTGTTGCTTTTTAGATGGACAGCACATTGTCAGCCTGGCTGGGGTGTAGGGGAGTGGGGCTTAGAGGAAAAAGGGAGAATGTGGAGAGTCACTTGAAAAAATGTGTAGGAAGCAGAGTTTCCCAGGCTTCAGTCGATACTTCTAAACCCAAATGATCTGTCAGAGGTGCTATGAGGAGCACCAGCTCATTTGTTTTGTTTCATTGGAGGTATTTAGTAACTAAAAGCTTCCTGGGTCAGTTCACTCAGTGTTATGGAGTGGGATCCTTGGAAAGTGAGAATGTACATGATTTTCTTTTTAGCTGCTGGGGTTCCCATAGCTGCTTTGCCTACTCAGCTGCTTATTTATGGTTTGGGAAGTTGTTCTGTCGAGGTAGATACCACCAGACCAGAGGGAGTGTTTCACAGCTGTGTTTGGGATCTGGTGATGGGAGATAGCACCATGCAGTGGGAAGAGGAGACCTGTGTGTTGCCAGTAGCCATACTGGGGCCTGGCTCCTGACCATGCAAAATCTCATCTATCAAAACCCTTTTCTGCCAGTTTTGCTGGCTCTTGAGACTGGCACTTTTCCCGTCTCCACACTGGGCTGATCAGCTGTGTCTCTTGTACGTGGGAGTTAGGTTGTGTCTAGACTAGAGACCTTCTCTAACATTAATTCCATTTGTTCTTGAGACAGATGAAACCTGTCTCCTTGGTGGATATGGTTGGTTACCTGTTGTGTTAAGTAAGATTCGGTGTAGTTTGTTTAAGCAGGATTGAGTGGGGCATCACAAACCAGAGCTTATTAATGCGTAGACAGCAACAGGAAACCACTGCCTTTACCTCCAGATTGATGGAAGTAACTTTGGCATGGAACATCAGCTGGCACCAGGGTAAGCAGGGAAAGTGTGTGGGGTGGCAGCCATGAAAGAATCTCCAGCTCTTGGGAAGATACTTAATTATGATTAACCACAACAAATGACCTGTTCTGGGTGGAGCATTAATCATGAGCAACCACAACAAATGTCTTGGGAATGCGGAGGGGCAAGGTCTGCGTTGAAAGATGAAGAACCATTCTGCTACCATGGATCCCCTCCAGCATCTCCACAGGCACTTAGGCAATCCTGTTTGGTTATTTCAGGATTAGTTAAAGCTGCTGGGAAGGTGGAACTCGAGAAGCCTCTTGCAGTGAGCGTCTTCAGCAGGCCTCCTGTGGTGCCAGTGAGGTGGGAAGCGTTTGCCTTGCTGTGAGTTACATGCAATAAGGCAGAACTGCCTGGAAGTGCGTTTTTCACCCTGAAGTGCTCAGAAGCAGTGTCTGAAGAGCCTGCTAGTTATTCCCTGGGAAACTTTAGCATGTTGAGCTGAATTTTGTAAGTAGTATAGATCCAGGTGCCTTCAAATATTACTTTTATCACACTTCCTATTACGAAGCAACCGCTTGGCGTTTCTTGTGAAGTGTGGTGATGCCCGTCTGTTTTCTGTGTCAGTGTGTAAAGGTTCCTCAAAGGCAGAAGGGCCCGTGGCCGGCGCGGGCGGGCACCGGCGGGGGCGCGCACGGGGGGCGCGCCCCATCTAGCGGCTGCTGGCGGCAGACTCCGGCAGGAAAAGGGAATAACTCCTGCTGTCCTTTGCCATCAGCAGAGACCAGGAAACAGCACCGGCGCGGTGGCTTTCGCGCTGGTGAATGTATCAGCCATTCAGCAATAAGGAAAAGGAAAACTGGAGGAAAACCGGGAGACTCGCAGGCAGCAGTAGCACCCCATGGTTTGTAGCTGAATTTGTCTGCTGTGCCAAATCAGGTGGTCTTTGCCCAAAGTGCATGCTGCAGGGAAAAAAAGAGTCCCTACAAGAGGGCAACCCGGCACTGAAAAAGTTGATTGTAATCCAGAAAGTCAGGGATTTCCAAACTCCTCTCCCTACTTTAGTCGCTTCCCTAGGATTCCTCTTCTCTTACATACTTTTTATAAAGCCTCTTTTCTTTGTGGCAGGGATGATAGCTTTGGTAAATATGGTTTAACAGACCAGTTTCCTTCCAGAGTGCGTGCTCTGATGCTTTAACGATGGGTCAAAGCTACTTATGCCAGTGAGTTAAGAAGAAATTCCAATGGGATCACATCCTTGTCATGGTCAGTCCTAGCCAGGTGCTGCAGGCAGGGGAGATGCTCTCAGAGTCAGTTGGAGTTTGAGCAAGAGAAAAGGTATCTGTGCAAACAGCTTCTCTCAGGTTGTATGCTGAATTGGAAAGAAAAAACAGTTGGGATCATACTGAGTTCTGCTCTAACAAAAAAAGGGACCAAACCCATAAACTCATGCTAAGTTTTTCCGGTATTTGCCCTATTAGTGCAAGGACCTCTTTTTCACATCTTTGAGGCAAGTGCTTTGGATCCATGCCAGCAAGCTTTCTGGAGAGCTATTTTCATGACCTGAGTGTGGAATACATATTGCACCTTGTGAAGGAAGATTATCTCTTATTGTATGGACTGGATACTGCTGTCCTTGTCCTCTGTTTTTGGTAGGAAGTGTCTTCCTTTGTGTGTTTTTCCTGAGGATTTTCAATGTTTCTTGCTGCAGAGGAGCAGCAGGCTTCTCTTTGGTGCTTGGGGATGTTTGTTCCACTTATCTGAGGGTTCAGGAAGAAGGAAACAGATGTTCAGCAGACAGAAATGAACGAGGAAGGTGGTGGTGAAGCAGTAAGGTCCAAATGTAGCAACTCTACATCTCAGTTCTGTGTTTCATCACCTCCTCTTCAGCTGCTTCCCCGCATTCTGCCCTGCTGTCCCATCCCACGGAGCTCCTTTGTGCTGCCCAGAGCCTGCCTGGCTGTCAGTGAGACCCACAAACTCTCCTGGAGCTTTATGCTGAGGACAAGGCTAAGGGAAGGCAGCCTGGTGGAGGCAGCACCTCTTCCTCTGCAGCAACGGGACGATCACCAGCACCCCCCTCTCCCGCCCGGATCCCAGTGCTGTCACAGGACATTTATTTATATCTCTCACAGTGTGGCCTTGGGGCTGCTGGCGCGTGGACTCCTCCGTGCTGTCCCCTTCGTCCCCGGGTGCCCGCGGGGGTGCCGGGGTGTCCGTGCGGCCCCCGGTGCCGCTGTATTTGTACAGCCCCTGATTTTGTCACCAGCAAGAGGAATAAAGGACCTTCCTCCCTGTGCGGGCCGCGCTGAGGGCCGGGGGCGGGGCCGGGGGCGGGGCCGGGGGCTGAGGGGAGGGGCTGGTCCTGCGCCGCCAGGGGGCGCTGCTGTGGCGCATGCGCGGAGCGCGCGCTCCGTGAGGCGGCGCGATGGCGGCGGCGGCGATGGCGGCGATCGTGGCCCGCGGCGGAGCCCCCCGGGGTGAGGGCGCCGAGAGGAGCCTCGTTACGCCGCGGCTGCTCAAGGGGGGCTGCGGGGCACGCGGGAGGGGCGGGAAGGGGCCGCGGCCTGCGCGGGAGGCGGTGCCCCGGTGCCCTTCAGGCCCGGCCTGAGGCGGGTCCCCTCAGCCGCGCGAGCGGCGCCGCCCTTGAGGGGAGCCGTGGCCCCGGGGAGGGGGGCCCGTGGGTCCTTCAGGAAAAGTCCCTTCTCCGTCTCCCACCCGTACCCCAGCGGCACCGGCGCTGAGCCCCGTCCCCGTTGCAGCGCTGTCCCTGCGGTGCCGCCGCCTGCACACCGTGTACCAGAGCGCGGAGCTGCCCGAGACGCACCAGATGCTGCGGGAGACCGTGCGGGACTTCGCTGAAAAGGAGCTGATGCCACTGGCAGCGCAGCTGGACAAGGAGCACCGCTTCCCGGCCGAGCAGGTGGGCATAAGGAGCGGGAATGGCACAGCCGGAGCCCCCCCGGCCGCTGCTCAGGGGCAGGACCGTCCGGGCTGAGGCAAAATATGCGTCCAGCCCCAGAGTAGCGGAAAACTGAAGTTCAGACCGACTCGTGGGAGAGTTCTGTGAGTATGGAGGTCTTAAAGCCCACAGGACGTTTTGAGCTCTTCACCTTCACTTGTGTCTCTCTATATCTGGCTTTAGTACTGCTGAATTTTCAGTTCTCTTACCGACATGCCTATGGGCTATAAAACAATTGAGTTATAAAATCAATTTATTATAAAATCAATTTATTATAAAATAAAATATTATTATAAAATCAGTATATTATAAAATACTTTTAAAGGTTGCACATTACCATAAAAATGGTTTACAGTGAGGAGGCAGAGATGACCTGGGTACATTACAGATGGTGGAAAGAAGTGATTAGGAGATAAGAGATGCCTGTTGGTCATCCTCTGGGACTGTGAACAAATTGAGATTCCAGCCAAACCTGTGATTTCTCTTGTGGAAAGACACAGCAGTGTAGTCTGTGTGTGTTGAAATAGGAAGCTTCAGAAAAACAGATCCTGTTGTGCTAGCCAAGAGACTCCAAACAAACACAGTTGGAGGCATGTGAGTTTTGTCACGCTCCTCTTTCTATTAAGGAGTAAGGAAGGTAGCCAGGAAAATCACACTTACTCAAAGGAAGAAAACAACTCTTTTCCTTACTGTTCTCATCTGTGAATTTTACATTTGATTTTGAGTCTTTTCACTTGAATGTGTAGGGAAAAACTGAAAATGTAAACAATGGTTATAAAGCAACATAGAAGGAGTTTCTGTCCTGTGCATCCTCTGGATTGAATGTCAAGGACTGGTGTGTTGGGTATCCTTACAGGAGGGAAATGATTTGTTTAAAAATTCCCCCAGGTTTCTCTTAAAGCAAACAGGGGCTGGTAACACCTTATTTTTGCAACACCAGAAGCTTGACATCTTAAATATGAAAACAAAGCAAAGCTTGTTTTTTCTCTTCTATGTTGCAAAACATTAACAAAAGACTTATAGTGAGACTGTGAAGAGTTTATGGTTGCAGAGCCAGGGGTCCAGCTGAGGAATTTGGGGTGGAACAGCATGGAATGTAACCAACAATTAAATTCTATGGGAAGCAAAATCTGGCTTTAATGGGAATGAAAAAACGATCATCTTCTTGCAATGAGTTCTGTGGGTCATTCATTCTATAAAATTCTTCCCCTGTGCAGTCCTAGGCTGAAGCTCAGCAGGCTCAAAGGTAAAGTTCTGATGATTTTTATCAGTTAGATGTCCCATTGAAATCTTCCTACTGACAGGAGACATGCAAGGGGAGAAGCTTTGATGGGAGGCTGAGGAAGTGCTGGTGAGGTTCTGTCTCCTGATTTCACCTTCACAAGGCTCCCCCTTTCCTGGTACTGAAGAGACCTCTTTACACTAGCAAGAGCATAAGTAACAATGACCAAGTACAGCTCCTGCTGAATTCACCCGGCCCTGGGGACACTTAGCAGTCTGTACAGTCAGATTCCCATTTCACAGGAGTTGTGGCATCTTTTCCTCTGAGTGCAGCCCTCCCATGACCCTTCCTTATCTCCACGTGTCTGTGTGTATTTTGTGGGACACTGGTGGTGCAGAGGATCTGACCTCTCCATTCCCTGTGTGCAGGTGAAGAAGATGGGTAGCCTAGGGCTGCTGGCTATGGATGTGCCAGAGAAGTACAAAGGAGCAGGCCTGGACTACCTGGCCTATTCCATTGCCGTGGAGGAGATCAGCAGGGGCTGCGCCTCCACGGGCGTCATCGTCAGCGTCAACAACGTGAGTGTGAGGGACAGGGGTGCAGCCTGGCTGGCACTGGGGGGTTACTGATGGGGAGGGGTGCCTGGGAGAAGTGGATCTGTTCCTGTGGCGGGTTCTGGTGTGTTGGAGAGCACGTAGGCAGGAGGGAGTTACTGGGTTGGTTGTACCTTTAAGAGGCACTAACAACACTCAATTATTAAAGTCCCTGTATTTAGGGCCAATACTCAAGTTTGGCTCCGAAGAGCAGAAGCACAAGTGGATTGCTCCCTTCACCAGTGGAGAGAAAATTGGATGTTTTGCCCTCAGTGAACCAGGTGATGTGACTGTTACCATCCCTGTTGCTTCTTTCCTTGGTCAGGTTTAGGGTGGACTTTAGGTCTGTGAAATTGTAACAGTTTGTAGAAAGGTGGTTTGTAGCAGTTCTAAGTGAAGTCCCAGTGCCCAAGGTGTGAACTGCCATCCCATGGTCCCAGCTGAAAATGCTCATCCCCTCAGTGAGCGGAGCTCTGGACACACTGGCCTTTCTGCTCCCTGTCCGGGTCCTGTGGGAGGGACAGTGGTGACACTGCCACAGTTGAGGAGGTGCCGTGAGCTGAGGGGGTGTGGGCAGGGGGTGGGTTTGTCCCCCAGGCTGGCACAGGTGGCCTGAGGCTGCTTTGGTGGTGCCTCACCCAGGGAATGGCAGCGACGCGGGCGCGGCCTCCACGGTGGCGCGGCTGGACGGGGACGAGTGGGTTCTGAACGGCACCAAGGCCTGGATCACCAACGCCTGGGACGCCTCGGCCACTGTGGTGTTTGCCACGACAGACAAATCCCTGAAGCACAAGGTACGTTCCTTTGGATCAGTCAGGAAAAAGAGGCGAGTGAAGGAGTTGTGTGGGAGAAGCACTTTGCAAAGGTCTGGATATTCTGTTTTTTGGGCCATGCAGGCATTGAGCAGAGGAGGGGCTGATGTGCACTGGCTTTGTGATGTCTCAGCTCTCCCCTCCCTTCTCCTGGTTATCTGGACATGTGGCTAATATGAAAAACGAAGGAAGCTTGTGGACAGCCAGGTTAGTGGGAAGGTGGCACCATTCTTAGGAATTTGGGTCTTTTTGCAGGGCATTAGTGCCTTCTTGGTTCCCATGCCAACACCTGGGCTGTCACTGGGGAAGAAAGAAGACAAGCTGGGAATCCGAGCCTCTTCCACTGCCAACCTGATATTTGAGGACTGCAGGATACCCAAGGCCAACCTCCTGGGGCAGCCGGGAATGGGCTTCAAAATCGCCATGGTAAGAGAGGAATCAGGACACAGCTGTAGCTCCCAAGTTTTACCATTTTGTAAATCATTTCCAGAGTCATGATCACTTCCCTGAGAATCATTCCCATAAGGTGTTCTATATCATGTTAAGCTGTTGACCCCTCTTGCCACCATGGGAGAAATCATTCCCACAGATTGACGAATGCTTAATTTACCACAGATCCCTGGCAGCACTTTTATCATGGCAGTTCTCAGCTAAAGCAATGCCGATGCCACTGAGGTGCTGTCAGCAGGAGTGGTGTATTTTGTGTTCTCCCTTCCCAGCCCTCTCTTTCTCCAGTTTGTACCCACGGATAAAGAAAAAACGTGATATTTTGCTTAAATACTGTGGCAGAGGGAAGTTGTCCTGGAGGCCCAGGAAAACCTCTGGATAGTGTCTCAAGGTGGATGACAGCTGAGTTATGGCATATGTGTGACTTCTGAGGAGGAGCCAGGCAGCTGGGAACAGCGTGTTCCCTGCAGTGAGGCACTGCCCCTTGGAAGTGGTCAGTGCTCTCTCTGTAGGGGCAAAACACCCTTTGTTGTTTTTTGAAATGGCCAAGCTCCCTGGAGCACAGCCCATTCCATTATGTCCTAAACTAAAAGAACCTGCCAGTCACCAATCACTTTTGAAGACCCTCAGCCCTGGACTGAGAGGATGAAGCCTTTTCTCCCTGTGCTGCAATCTCTTCCTGTGCACAGTGAGGCAGGTCACCAGTTAAAAGCCTAATGGGCAGGTGTTTGAGCTAAGTCAGGTTATTGACTGGATTCACTTCTTAGTTTGAAAAATGCTTCAGTGTCCTAATGATGAGGGCAAAAGAGGAAAATTTACCAGATTTCCAATATTTTTCAGTTAAAGTAAACTGAGCTGCACAGTGAGCCAGGGGTCTGGCTGAAGGGTTCTTTCCAGCTCGTTCCAGAGCAGATGCTGCTTCTTGTGCTGTTTCCCTTATTTTGCACTGGGCTTTTTTTCTTCCCAGCTAATAAGAAGCAACACCTCTCCTTTCTGCTCCCCTTCTCTCCACAGTGCCCAGTACTTGTTGTAGCTCTCTATTCCTACATAACTGGGGATATTCTGAATCAAGGAGGTGTCTGACCAGAGGGTTCTGAGGCTACAGTGCTTCCTAGCAACAGAAATATGAATCTACTATTTTTGATAAAGTATGACTTGACTTAACAGGTATTTCGTGTCTTTCTCAGCAAACTCTGGATGGAGGAAGGATTGGAATTGCCTCACAGGCTCTTGGAATAGCACAGGCAGCTCTGGACTGTGCTGTGGATTATGCTGAGAAGAGAATGGCCTTTGGGTCGCCCATCACAAAGCTCCAGGCAGTGCAGGTATGAGCTGGGCACACGGGGCAGCTCCCCATGGTGCTGGGGCTGGTGGAAAGTCCATGTGTGCTCTGAGGCGTGGTGTCAGCAACACAGTGCACTTTGCACTGCCTGGGATAAACAGGGTAATAATTTCCATTTCTGAACACTGTTAAAACGGGTTGTTTGGATGGAGGCTCCTTTCCCAGTGGCCCCAGGGGTGGGAGAATTCAGCTGTGTGTCCTTGTGCAGCAGAGGCCCTGGGCCAAAGGCAGTGTTTGTCGTTGCAGTTCAAGCTGGCAGACATGGCTGTGGCCTTGGAGGGCGCCCGCCTGCTGACCTGGAGAGCTGCTATGCTGAAGGACAACGGGAAGCCCTTCACTAAGGTATTGCCAGCCCTGCATTTGTCCAGCAGTGACAGCAGGGCACAGGCTCAGGGCCGGGGAGCCGCACTCTGAGCGGGTCCCTGCGCTCAGCACTGGTTGTAGCCGAGGAGAGAGGGGTGGCTGCTCCCAGCTGGCACAACGTCAGTCCTGTCTCTGCACAGCTGGGCTGTGAGGGTTCAAGCAGGTGAGGGGTTCCTTTTTGCCACAGCTGCACCCTCAGTGATGTTTTCCTTCCCCAAAGGAAGCGGCCATGGCCAAACTGGCTGCATCAGAAGCTGCAACGGCCATCGCTCATCAGGTAACTGCTTCCACTGACACCTCTGGTATACAGCACGTGGAGAGGGATGTTTGGTTGTCACACAACAGAAGTGCTTTGGGAAGGTGGGATGGAATTTACTAATTTATTTTTTAAACAAACCAACCAACCAACTACTCAACCCCTGTGGCTGAAGCTGGTTAGCACAGCCTTCTTCTGGGTTGTCAGGGAGCAGGATGGGGGCAGGGATTTATAGTGGCCTGTGGTAGCTGTATTACTACAGTGATATGTGCCTGCTGCTGTCCAGGGTAGTGGCAGTTTTGAGTAGGATCAGCAGTGTGGGAGACAGAGCACTGGCACACCAGTCAGCACCACTGCACCTGGAACAGGCGCTGTGTATCTCCATTTAGTGTCCCCTGTCCTTAATAAAAGCATCTTAGCTGAACATGGATCACTAACAGATATCTCTGAAGCAATTAATTCTCTGTCTGGGACATCAGTATTGCTCTTACCCAGCTCAAATGCTGTTTATTCTTTTGATTGCAAACAAGCTGCAGTCACCCCCCTGGGTCCCACCCCTCCCAGTTACACCTGCAGTGGGCTCAGCTCCCGTTAAAGTGGCTGTGCTTGTGTTCTGCAGACAACAAATTCCTTGACCCTGCTTCCTGTCTAACTTGCTGCTCTTACTTCAGGCCATCCAGATCCTGGGTGGGATGGGCTACGTGACGGAGATGCCGGCGGAGCGGCACTACCGGGACGCCCGGATCACCGAGATCTACGAGGGGACCAGTGAGATCCAGAGACTGGTGATTGCAGGCCAACTGCTCAAGGCCTACCGAGGCTGAGGCAGCCAGGAGAGCCACACACTGCCCAAGTGCCTCGTAATGGTGCTCAACAGTGATCAAGTTTGACCCTCTTGGATGAGGCCAGTGATGGAGGTTTTCCTCACCAATGAGTAACTGACCCTCAATGTACAATGTACTGACTCTTCCTTGGACAGTGGCTGGACTGAGGTTTGTAAGCTGTGAGTGCAGGAGGGAGGAGACAACCTGTGCTGGTAGGGCAGTGTGGGGCTTCTCCTGGAGCATTGGATGGGTTTGGTAGTGCCAAAACAGCTTTGGCTGTTCAGTGAAGTCAGCAGCTCTCCTTGTGCCCTTCCCAGCCAGTGCCTGTTTTGGAAAATTTGTTACTACCAGGCACTGGATAAACAGTGCCAGAGTTAGAGGTGCTGAGAGCTGTGACCCCTTCACCCCAATCCAGGCTGTAGGTCACAGTGCCTTGAATTTCAGGTGTGTTTGGGAGCTCCTAATTGGACACAGCCTGTGTGGAGGTAATCCTGCAGCAGGGCACTTCTTCCCTCTACCAGCAGGAGAGGAGCCAGACAGGACATGCAGGAATTACGTATGCACAGAGGGACTGAGCACAGGCTGTGGTTACCCTCTGTGGACATGTGAAAACATAGATCAGAAAGAATCCCTTGAACTGGCCAGCAAAGCCCAGCACCTCCTCACTCTGCTGCTCTGGGATGCAGGGATAGAAGCAAAGGGCAAAAAAGCTGCAGTGCCTGAGACTTTTTTTTGTAAAAAAAAGGCCAAAGAAACCTCTGCTCCCAAATGTGCTTCTACAATATGAATAAGAAAGGAAGTGCCTGAAGGGGCAGTAACAGCCTTTAAATCCCTTTTGGGCAACAAGGAGGAAAAGAGATGACACACAAACCTTACCAGGAAGCTTTAGCAGTAGCACATGTCCTCAATCAATGATCTTTGTCAAGACATTGCCTTTTAGAAGATTCAACAGCCATAGGAAAAACTCTAAACTCAGGAAAAGATGGAGAGGATTAAGACCTGGACTGTCTGGTCCAGCCCCTTGTCCAGAGGAGTACACTAGAGGTAAATGGTTATTTTCCTGTGGTGCCATTTATTTAGACTTGTGTGGAGAGAAGAAGAGCAGGATTCTGCCATACGTGAGAGAGCAGAGAAGACAAATAAAACCAGACTTTGAAGGACCACCAGTCCCTCCCTCTTTTTTTTTAATGCAAATGTGAATTAATTTAGATTATTTTCTTCCAGTCACAAGACCCAGAAGCAGAAACCAGCAGGGCCCGTGTGTACCAGTGAGACCAGTTCTCAGTGATGTCAGCCATCCATCCCTCTGCAGGGCGCTGGAGGGCAACAGCGTGTTGGGGCAAGGTCCTCAGGTGCTGAGCTTCTCCTGCTGCTCTCACAGACATAAGGATTGACAGAAACAGAGCCAGGCAATGCATTCAACAGGAATAGTCCTATTGGAAAACCATTCCCATGACTGTGACTGTGATTCTGTTGTACATTATGGACACCTTGTAGGAGAGAGACGCTTTTGTAGCTTGATTTTATCCTGTGTCACCATTTTGACTGCTGAAGGCTCACGTCTATGACTGTGGGAGGAAGTGTGATATTATTTTGCACTAATTTCTCCTTGCAGCCACTCAGCTACAACAGGAGCAGCAGGGATGTGAAGACTCTTAAGAATGCAGAGTCCCTGCTCGGTGCTCATCTGCACTGACCTCGTATGCCGAGGTCACTGGAATCCCGGTGACCCAGCACAGTCAGTCACACTCCTGCCACCAGGCTGCCCTGTTCCCCTCTCATCCAGCTGCTTCTCTCAGATCCCCTTGCTGGCTGTCAGCAGTTGCCTCCCTCATTACCAGCTCTAATTGGCTGCAGCTTCTCTCCAGAGCAGAAGGAAACTGCCCCTGTACACACCCCATGGTGACAGTGACCACCTCGGCTGACACAGAACACCTGGAGAACCTACAACCCTGAGGGACCAAATCCCTTGTGGGCAGAGAATATTGGGGGGGGAGCATCAAGTAAGGGCCTGTTCTTGGAAGAGCCCTGCTGCTGTGCCTGTGGGCAGAACCTGCTTTTGGGAATGCCTGGATGCAATACCTTCCCTGCTGCCACAGGGGCAGAGAGAGCTCAGTGACCTGTGACACTGCACTGGTCACAGCAGTGCTCTGGGGTAAACAGCACACTTACACAGAAAGGCCCAGAGCTCCCAGAGCAAAGCCATGGCTTTTCTCAGAGCAAGATACTACAAGCTTACTCCACTGCTGCTGGCTGAGAGAACTCTCTGCTGCCTGTGCCTCTGCTCCTCAGGGCTCCTGCAAAGGAACTGCTGAACGTGCAAAACACAAACGAGTTCTGCAGCATTAAATGAGGAGCTGTTACCCAGCCACCCCCAGACAGCACCATCCCAGCCAGGTGTGGGCAGGGCTGGCTCTCCTTGGGAAGAAGGGGCTGTTGCAGGGGAAGCCGGAACTTTTTATCACTTTACAAACTCGGCCAACATCGCAGAGTTGGGGCACCGAGATGGGAAAATCAGGTCATACATAAATTAGAAACAATTAAGGGGAAGGAGATAAGCCACTTCTCCAGGACAAAACAGCACTTCTCAAGGACACTGTGGTTTTTGCCCCACGGTGCTCTAAGTGTACATGAAACTGGTTACGAGGCAGATTGCTGGGGATGAAACAGGGAGCCCAAAGTAGAATCCTTTCTTAGGAAACAGTTACAGTAACAAGGACCTTAAAATTGATAGATTTCTTTATCACACATAAAGCTCACAGATTCTTCATTTGAGTTCCCAACAGACTAAAGGAAGAGGAGAGCTGTTCTGGGCTGCTACAATTAAATACACACAGGTGAGAAATACTTAACTCCTGGGGAGCACAGACATGAGACACATCCTTTCTGTCCCATCCCTCACCAGGAATGATGAGCTGCCTGGAGTCTGGCTCCCCCTTGGAAGCATCTACCTCACAGAACAGCAGGACAGGGCTCATCACTCCATTTCACACAAGTCCAAAAAAAACCCCGGAAGTGCCATTTCAGCCTTCCGTGTTTAAGCAAGCAAGTTTTACAGGACTCAGCTGAACCTGCTGCAGTACTGCTTTCACAGCACAACAGTCTGCTCCACCAGTCTCTTCTGACAGTGTTAGCTGTTAGGAAAAAAGGACAGACATATTTTGATTTTAAATTAAAACTTTGTTTTGCCCAAGTTGAGAGCCCTCAACACAGATCACACATTCAGGTTATGTAGGGAAGTTGGAAAGCATGGAAAACACCGAATTTGAAAGACATCCTGAGGTAAAAAACCCAATTGCCTGTAAGAATAACAGGAAGAAGACATGGAATAGAGGTAAGAAAATGCGACAGCGCTGTAACTTGAATGAAAAATGGAGTTAATTACCATTTACTTAAAAAATTAATTTCAAATTCTACTCACTCACTACTTGTATAAAAAGAAAAATACTTGGGAGCCTTCCCTCCACTTCCCCCTCCAAAGAGGTCATTCTAAGCAGGGGAAGCCACTCAACCCTCAGTATGTGTTTCCTGATTCCCTCAGTGAGCGCTTCCCCTTCTCTCACGGAACCCTCTGTGCTCCCAGGCAGTGCCCCGTGCCCTCACACCGGCTGGGTGAGGCTGTGACGACTGCCCTGGGTGCCCCAACAGGCCAGTACTGACACAGGGTGACCTGCTTCCACTTCTCACACTTTCTGCCCACACAGACTGGCCACACACCCCAGGCCATTTTGGAACTCCTCATGTTTGCAAGGTTAAGTGTGACCTTAGGGAAATTTCAGAATACAAACAAGTGCCATTTCTAAGCTGACTATTCCCAGTCACAGCAGAAAACTGACTCCAGACTGTCAGCAGATTTGTACAGTACAATTCTGGTCCGGATTCTGACAACTATGCTATAAATATGCTCCAGTCTATCGCTTTTCTGCCAGCCTCATTTTGCATTCCTGCAAAAAGCTTAAGTGAGTGAAAAAGTTGTTAAGATAATTCGGACAACTTTTCAGAAGAAAGGGCAGGTAGTTTGGCCATTTCACCTGCAGGACTTTGTGTCAAACAGTTTATCAAGGAATTCAACAGATTGTTAAATGACAGTGACATCAGCAACCATACCAGACTCCACAGGGACAGGAACCCGGGCCCTGCATGGCCTCCCAAAATCCAGGGGACCCAAAGCAGCCTGTATAGTTTGATCCTCAGCAGAGACTGGGGAGCCAAGGACAGAAGGTCCATCTGTGCAGGGAGGGCCCAGAGCCAGGGAGGATCCACTTGTGATCTCTCTGAACGCTGAGGTGGGTCTGGGTGGGAGAGCTGTGGGACAAAGCTTTGCAGCTGTAACTTACTCAAAGCCTGGGAAAGTGCTTTTCCTTAGGACAGTTATGCTTCAGTGAACCCCTGCAAAGCACCAAAACCCTCTTCCTGCCAGCTGAGGGGGCAGCAGACACCTTTCAGTCCAGTGCCCACCTGGGCAGTGCCAGTGGAACCTGTGGGCAGAGACAGAGGGCTCAGTTACAACACTCTGCTCTCCCGGGGCAGGAGGGCAATACAGCTTAACAAGGGAGGCCAGGGATTTTCTGGAAAGCTGGACTAATTGTCATTAAGCATTTATCGACTAGCATTTATCAATTAGCATTTCTAGAGCTTTTTCCAGAATACTTCTAAGTGTAGAAATTGTTCACAGGGATGCTTTCCAGGCAGGGCCTAAAAATGCCACTGCAAGAAAAAGGAAGACCTTGTATTTTAATCCCAAAGGCTGGAGGGAACTGCTGTGAAGCTGATGGCACCCGAGCTGTGCATGACCGTCAGGTGGGTGCAAGGGCTGGGCAGATAAACAGTAGCAAATTGGATCTGAAGTTGTTATTCCACTGCTTGGAACCTCTGGGCAAAAAAAAAAAGTAACCAAAAACATGCCTTTTTTTTCTTTCTCTGAATACCCTCCTGAATATTTTATTCACCTTTGGTTTGAGGTGTGTAGCTGAAAACTCGCCTTTCTGTTGTCCCTAGCAAGTCTGGGATCTAAGAACTGCTATGGACAGAAAAAATCAGGTTTTTAGTTAAAAACTAATTCCTTTAAAAGTGACAGGTACCTGACAATGCACACTGCAGGCAAATGCTGGAGGGAATGGTTTCAGCTGCGAGAGAGAGAACTGAGGAGTGGTGGTGTGATAATAAATAAATAAATAAAAAATAAAGTCACAGCATCTCCCCTGAGTCACCCACCCACACTTGCTAAATCTTAGGGCCTCCCCAGATGGCTGAGCTGTTTCTTACTGTTTCCTGGGATGTTCCAGCTGTCTTGGAGGTGTGTCCTGTCCCAGCCCGCTCAGACGCATCAGCCCCGTCAGCTCCTCTGCCATCAGTGCCAGAGCTGCCTGAGAACAGAGGAGGGCGTTAATTAATGACATTAACTAATGATAGTGCACACCCATGGCTGGATGAAATTTCCTGCCATGCCCAATATGCTCCTGCTGTCCCCCCAGCTGGGCAGAGCATCAGGTGTTTCACCAAACCCTCCTCACCTACCAGAACAAAACCAGACCCAAACTCTGTCCCTGCTCAGTCAGAGTCACTCTTGAACATTCCTCCTTCCCCACCCACCAACAATTCTCAGCTTCTGTCAATGAGCTACCAGCTTTTGGGAAGAGCTCCCCACACCCAGCTTGGCACACTGCTTTAAAGGAGAAAAGTTTAGTTACCTCAGGAAAGCCTTTCAGTCAATAAAATAACAACTGGAACTGCTGGTTTAAAGAAAAAAGAATAAAATCCACATTTTAACAAGCTACAGGTACAAAGCAGTCAACACACAAACTCCAACCAGTCACAACAGTAAAGGACAGTTTTTCTTTTTTCCTTTTTTTTTTTTTCTTGTTTTCTTTAAGGGGCAGGGGCATGGAAAAATACAGCACACTAATGAAACAAAATGCAAAAAATACAAAAAAATAGAAAATAGAAAAAATGTATTTACAAGTGATACATTACTATGATCAGAAAGCACAAAGACAATTGCTGCTATAATACATGCACTGGGTCAAGAAGGAACTACTAAAAACCTGCAAGGGAGCTGTTTGTAAAAAACGAAAATAAAAAAAGGGAGGAAAAAAAAAGAAAAAAGACACCCCCACCTCCTCCCCCCTCAGACACACAGGGCTGGGTTTGAACTTTTTTCTTCCCTAGTTTGCTACATTGATCAAACCAAATATCCCCTAAAGTCCATGGTACAACCAGTACAAATACTACACTTGGTTTTAAACTGCAGGTTCAGTTGTAGGAGGGGGAAAAAAACAGCAGCTCATTGTAGATCCATATACATAAAGCCAGAGTAACTGTGCTACATGCTAAAAATTACAGCAAGCCCCTGTCTGCTACACAGCATGATCTTAGCAGGTTTTCCTTTTTATTTATTCATATATATATCTATATGTGTGTATATATATATGTATAAAAATCGTGCCCTTTTTCACTGCAACATGACATCTGGGTGGAAATGTAACTTGTTACAACAAATTTTTATATGTATACTGCAAGAAGTCACTCAATGTCTGTGGATTTAATAAGTAACCTCACACCACAGGAAATATTTAATAAATCAAAAAAACCCCAATATTGTGACAGAAGACCTTCTGTCTCAGTTCTTTTCAAAACCGAAGTCCCGCAGGAGACTGGTCCCAATGTCCACGAGGGTTCTCTGAAGAAGCTTCAGTTTCTTAACCGTTTTTGCGTTTAGTGTTCACGAGTTTTTGAACGACTTCAAGCCGTTTTCAGTTTCAAGTCTGTCTCTTCCTCTCTCACAAAGGTAATAGTCTGGTACTAATCCATCCGAGTGAGGAAAAGAGGAAAGTGGCTGCAGTTGCACAAAGGGTCCCCAATTCCACATCTGCAGGAGATCCGGAGTCACGCGGAGCTCCGGGATCTTCGCTTTTGTTCCTTTCCCTCCTTTAATACAAAGTCCTTTCATACAAGTCCCGTCATTGGTACCTTCCCAAGTACCAGCCAGTCCAGCTTTAGGAGACAACAAAGCCACAAGTTAAAGTGAAAAGGACCAAGGCAGAAGTTCAGGTCACTTCCTGTCCGTTCCATCATACTTCCAGGAAACGGGAGCTGCTGGACTTGGAGTGGAAAGGCTCAGACCACATGCGACGTAGATCGCCCTGGGCAGGGAAACAGCACAAGGACCATGTCCTCAGAAACTCTGAACTCTGCTTAGAATCAGATTTTAAATGCACACAGAATTGCAAGCGTGTCTTAGAGCAAACCTGTTCTTCACCTGTTTTGCAAGTTACAACAAAGACAAAAAAAAAAAATCCTTTCCCTGTCAGGTCAGAATGACTTATTTTTGGCAGCAGATCTACCCAAAAGGGGTTTCTGATGGGAAGGAAATAATGATGCAGGTGGAAAATCCTGCCCTTTCCTATGTTCTGCTCTGCAGAGTGCCAGATGTGTGTTTCAACGGGAACGGTACACTCTAAAATTTCTGTTCAGAACAGGTGACTGGGAACAGGCAAACAAGGCTCTGCCTCTCTGACTGCTGCTCAGCCTTTGTCCATGTGGTATTTCATGACAAGCTGGACAAGGACAAACTCACTTATTTAATTAAAACAGCATTTAATACTTTATAATTTAGTGAGTTTGTAATTACTGGTACTTTATGTACCTAAATTATCTTCTATTTCAGGAACTCCTCTCTCAGTAAGAAATGATGAGCAGTGGTCTCTCAGCTCTGGGCCAGAGCTCTCAGGGACACTCATCATCCTCCTGAGAGCTGCTGCCAGTGCAAGGACATTGACCCTGCTGCCAGCTGGCCCAGGGCTTCCTGCTGCCCACGTGCCATCCCCTCTTACCTTTAAATAGGCCATGGTGAGGAGCGGCAATAAAGTGAATGGTACCAAATAGAGCAGGGCAGGCTGGGCTGCCCGGTGAATACGAGAAGCTACTGTTGCAGTTAATAGACCTGCGAGAGAAAAAAGGGACTATAAATATCTCCAGGTTGCATGTGGATGTTCTCAGCATTTCATCCACCATTTTAAATAGGAGGGGAAAAGTCACTTCTCTCTGCTTTGCTCTTCCTGATTGCAACTGAAACAAACCAAACAGTGACAAATTATTCTGTTTGAATATTAGGCTGCGTGGGGCCACCGGCTCTGGTTTTGACTCTCAAGACTAACCCAGGAAGAACTCAAACAAAATGCAACAGAAGGTGAAGGGGGAATTGCACCACACTGAAGTGCTGCTCCAGGGCTGGCACCTCTGGAGACCGTCAGTGTGAGGCCCCGGCCCGAGCAGTGGGGGCTCAGAGGAAGGGCTGCACACACCAGGAATGACTCTCCTGGATACTTGCCCAAAGGGAACACTGGGGGAATGATGGGTGAGAGGAAGGCTATGGGTAGGAAATGAATCTTTCCTTTTCATCCTCAGAAGGACTGCAGGAGGTCAGGATTTGCACACACATGTCCTGAGCTGAGGGAAAAGCCTGTTTTATATTAGGGAACAGAGGGCTGGCTACAGCAAATTATAACCAGCATTCCATTTGTGACTATTGATGATTTTCTGTATGTACTACAACGTATAGAATCTAACTAAGAGATCATTAACAGCAGAATACAAAAATGCAGAAATTATTTAGATGAATTACCTAGATGTAGTATGTACTTTTGAACAGCATAATTAATCTGGAAACTCCCATATTTTTACCATAACCCAAGTATGAGCTACGACACTAGATAGTGAAGCAAAGAGTAAGTGCTAACAAAAACACACTGATAATCTGTTTCATCCTCTAAAATACAACAACAACAAAAAAATCTTAAAAGGAAGATTGTTGAAGGGTTTTTCTCCCTAGACCATGCCAATAAACCCAAAGAGAAGAGGATTAAAAAAGAACATAACCAAACATCCTCTTAAAGCCTCTTTACACTTGCTATCATCTTCTTTTAACCCTACTACAATAATCCCACATCTGCCCACTGGGCAGCTCTCCATATTACACTAATTACTCACCTACAAAATAGCCAATAAGTGTGCAGTGAAAGTAAGAGACCTTCTGCATCCGCCCAGAGATGTTCCCTGGTCCTGGGGCACCGCAGGAGTCACTGTTGGCTTGTTTTTTGTAGTTATCGTAACGCAGGACGAAGCAGAGCAGGAGCCCTGGCATCACAATATCTCCAATCCCCAGCATGGAGAAGTGGCTGCCTGTGGAACTGGAGAGCAACTGGAATTGGGTTCATGCCCAAAACAAAAAGTGACAAGCTCTAGACTCCTCCACTTTGGTTCTGAGCTTCGTTTGGCACATCCCCTCTTTCCCTGGCAAACTTGGACGTAGCAGGAACTAAATGCTGGCTACTGAAGTTTTCCAAAGTGATTTCTCCATCACCTCAGCTCAGCTTTACACAAACCCATTTTGGCAGGGATGATGTGTTACTCCACACCAGTTTCCTTCTCCCAGTAGTGTTTAAGCTGCTTTTGCCCTTAACTCACTCAATGAGACAGATCCATCAGTGCAGTATTTCAGCCCTCTCTCTTCTCAGCTGATGGGAGGGACCAGTTGGCCCTTTTATCTGACTGATTAACACTGACAGATACTGCACCTCCATCCCGTGCACACTGATCTAACACAGGGCAGTACTCTCAGTTTTGACTTCTCAGACCTTTGGCCTCATTCAGACAAAACAGAAAACTATAGTCTTGCCAGATTCCCAGAAAAGAGCCAATTGGGAGGTAGACTAAGAACTACAATTGTCCATTATCTTAAATCCAAGGTATTTTTCAAGAAAATAAAGGCAAATTGAGTTATCACAAAGTTGACAAAGTGAACAATTTTGTTTTTATCACCGCAGACAATGACCTTCTCATCTCTATAATTTCAGCATCCCAACATCTAAAGAAACAGGAGTAAATACACCAACAGAACCCACTGCCTGCTGCTGCTGCACTGAGCTGCCTGCATGTGTCTGGTTACAGACTCGAGCCAGCAAGGAACCCCTGGAGCAGGGAGGTGTGGAATCATCTCCCCCCAGCACAGCTCTTGCCCAGTAAGGTGCCCTTGTTTAGAGCAGTTTCTAATCCTTCCCAATTGCCTGCAATTATTCAGGGAACTAAGATGATAATTTCCAACAGAATTAGTTCTACTAAGTACAGGGAAGGAAAATGTTTCTCATGTAATATAGTAAAAGATCCACTGATTTTACCTTGGGAATACAAGTTTTCCAGGCAGCGACAGACGGGGAACATCCCTGCCCACGTTTGGTCCCAGGTGAAGTTTCCGGGATAACACGTCCAGGGGATTATCAGCTGGTTGTGTGGCCACTTTCACCATAACATTGCTGTTAAAGATGTAGGCAGAGAAAAAGACCTATGGAAGAAGGAAATCATAAATTACAAACTGCAATTCCACAGCAACTCAAAGCTGCATCTATTTTTGCTTTGCTTATTCAAGAAAAGAAAGGTTATTGTCCAAATTTTCCATGCACATATGTTGTACATGATGTTAAAAGGTAAAAGCATTTCAAAAACTCAGATGGAGCTTTTTATGCTATTAATCCTCAAGGATAACTGGAATATACTTTCTGATATCAAGGCATTGATCAGTATCTTGACATCCTTCACAAAGGATCTGTCTTGACTACAAACAGGTGGTGCCGGATGACAGAGGCGGGGAACAGGATACTAAAAACAGGAGAAAGCTGGAGAGCAGAGAAGAGGTGAGCACAGTGCTCACTCCTAAATGGGATGAGGCAGCCCTGGTCTCCAACAGGCTCTTACACTACAGCTCATCCCCCTGGAAAGTGCCTGGCTGCCAGAGCTGTCAGCGGGCGCTGCCCTGGATCAGTGCTCACTGTTAGGCAAAGGTGAAACAAAACCCTTTTTGCTGCTACAAAGTACATTCTGTCATGTTTCTTGTTGAAGTGTGCTAAGATTCTATGCCAACCTTCCTGGCTACAGATCAATTTGCATTCTTGTTTTGCAGATTTCTCTGCTAATCAGAAGCTGGCACATTTTTGTCCTGTGTACGGCTCTGTGTGGACTTGGAAATGCTTGTTCTGATCTTCAGCAGCTTCCAAAATTCCAGGGCCAACCTCCTTTTTTAAATAATATGTGAAAGTTGAAATATTCTAATCATATTTCTGCTTTTGTCAACTAATTAGCAAGGAAATAATTCCGTATCCTGCTGTAGAATTCAACATCTCAGAACGGAGCACTGAAGCCGGTGATCTGGCTTTGCCAGATTTCATCAACTTCATACCAGCACAACTGATGTAAAACTGGCCCAAGGCCTATTACAAATCCAAAGGATAAAAACAGTTTTAGTGAAACCAAACCAAACACTTACCCAAAAGACATCATAAATTAGTAACCCAGAGAGCAGCAAGCAGGAAACCTTCAGGCTCGGCAGCCGAACAAAGGCTATCATTGCAACACACAGGCCCATAGCCAGAGCTACAAAATGCAAGACATCATTAGTTCATTACAAACAGCAAAACAAACAAAAAACCACCACCCCCAAGCCAGTACCTCCCCCCCAAAACCCCGAGGAAGCCTCTGTTTGCACCTGTGCAGCTCTGCATGCACTAGATGACGGTCTGCTATTTCCAGCCAGTGAAATTCTTGTTACCAAGGTTAAGAAAAGTCAAAATACATTCAGTAGCCAACTGCAAATGTGTGCCCATGGAAGCAGAGATCCCTCTGCAGGCACAACCACTCATTCCACTTGGCTTCCACCACCCACCACAAAGAAATGTTCCATGTCCTGTGTCCCAGAGACTCCATCTCCCCTCTACAACCCTGACTACCCACTTAAAAACAGAAGCAACAAAACAACTTTGGATTTTTTGTGCCCCAAACATAAACCTCTACTTTTACATTATTAGGAGGTTTTCTAGTAAATGCCCCAAATAAATAAAATCCTTGACTCTTAATTCAGAAATAGCACGGTGATGTGACATGTTAGAACTTGGTCTGACAAAACCCCCTCGAACCAACCTTCTGCTTGGGCAAGACTGGGCAAGAACACCACGAAACATCATCATTTAGATATCCAGGGATTTCCCAAGAACCTGTGTGAAAGCCTAGCTACTGACAGGGAAAAAAATATGGGTCTTTTCCTAACCCCTCTCCCAAGGGTGAGTTTTCAGCCAGATCAATGAGCTGAATGACACGAGGCAGCTCAGATGTTCATTTTGTTCCCAGGGGAATTCTGTCAGGGTAGAAAGGCAAGATGTTAAACTAAAACAAAAATCCCAGTCTTCACTTCTGTGTAATTTTCTGCTTCTTAAAGCCCAGCCTCAGCTACCAAAGATACTCCACAGCTGGTTACAAGTAAATCCCTACAGAGATACTTATGATAAAAAAAAATTAAAAAAAACCTTAAAAAGCAAATCAGCTTTTATCTGTGATATCAGTCTATTTACAAGGAATAATGGAGCTCAGTTGGGACCAGATTACACTCAATCATGCAGACATTTGTCAACAAAATGTCTTTGTCTAACATGACACGGAATTTGTAAGAAGTTACAATCCCATTTTGGCCAAGTGGAACTGCAGGGAAAGCTGATCCATGACATACATGCCCACCAGTGGGACAGCTGGACTTGGCCAAAGTGTACAAGTTAACCTTTGGATTCTCACACTGTAATTATGGACTGTGAAACCATCTCACACTTGCATTTCACCTGACAGCTGGGGAGTCCTTCCATAAAAACCACTAAGGAAACATCCATATGGATTCAAGGGGAAAATGTGTCCCCAGTCCCCTGCCATCCTGGCTGCCTGCAGTGCCAGGGGCTGCATCCCAGCACCTCTGCCAAACCCACCTGATCTGAGAGCTGACACAACACCCACTGTCAGAGCTGCCAGTTTTAATGGAGGAGTGGGACTACTCAGATAAAAACATACCCTAAATCACACTGCACAACTGAAACCAGCTACAAAATGTAAGCAAGTTACCGAGGTTTAAAGAATTTGACACAGCAAAGCAGCAAGAAAAAGAACTGCATTCAGTAATTCAATATAGCCCTCAGTTACAGACTTCCTCTGGCAGAAGAGCAAATACAAGGGTACAGTCTGTCTTAAATCAAAGAGGTTTCTCTAAAGCCAATGTTAATAATAGCTCAAGCAAGCCTGTATTTAGGAGAGGATTTCCAGGTTATAATTAACCAGAAGTTGAAATATTTTAACCAGTGAGAAGTTTTATCTATTGTTCACACACTCCATTTCTCTGTCACTGAAATGAACACAAGCATAAGGCACTTTCATCAAACTACGCAAATACTGGGTAGAAAAGGAGAAGGAAAAAAATCCTTCAGCTGACAGTGAAATACACATTGTAATAATTACACAGTTTTGCAACAGCTTTAGGAAATACTGGTAAGGCTAAAAAACAAGGGAAGCAAGAATGCCTGGGAGCAAGTGTGAGGAATATGGGCCAAAGAGCAGTCAAACCACCGACGGGCTTCTCTAAATGGAGGCCAGCTCCCTTTGCCAATGGAAGAGTCCAGAAATCATGAGAGAAACAAAGTCCTGTCCAAGCTGGTGTTGACAAACAAATAAGGTAGATCCTCACTGAAATATGTTCCAAATCATTAAAAAAAAAAATAGAAGCAAAGAGGAGAGAAAGAAGAGAAAAAGAGGTAGAGTGGCCACACAAACGGCAGCCCTGGTTTGGAAGTGCTGGGCATTGGCTTAAGAAAGCTGAGTAAGAAAGAACTAACTGAAGAGTTAACATTCAATTAACAAAACTAATTAAATCCAGAGTCCCTGCAAGCACACTCCTTATGGAACAGGGATATTCTGAGGATTAAGAATATTCTTGCATATGTGATTAGACTCTGGCAGCTCCCCTGCCCTCCTGCACCCAGAGCAATGACAGCCCCAGATGCTGCTGGTGTGGGGTCTGGTTTACAAAGCACAATGTGAGCTGGGGAGGATTTAACTTCCCCCACAGGCCACAGCTGACCTTTGAAAGACACAGGTACTGAGGTTCTGATCTGACCAAAGTGTATTTTAAAGGGAGGGAATAAGAACACAGGCCCTGGATCTGTCCATTGACGCAGCAGTTCCCGGGGTATCTGTGCCTGTGCAGTTCACTCTGTAACTGCAGACATTCCATCCATCTACAGCATTCCCACTGTGCATCTCCAGCTCTGTCCACTACAGAGGAAAGCCTTTACCCAGGCTTTACCAGGGGATTCTGTCATCAAACAACCTGCTCTGAGAAACGAGCATTTCAAGACCTATAAATGTGCATCATCACATGCCAGAACAACCTCCGAGACAACCTCTGCTCACTCTACCCTGTAACACATCCCTGCCCCAGAAGCCATTCAACCGACGGCCTTAGGGACAGGAGTGCTGCACTTGGATATGAGTGCTGACTGCCCACAGGGACAGGAGTCACTGGGGTCTGCATTACTGGGTCACAGCAGAGCAGAGGTAAAGGCAGAGGTGACAGGATCCCACAGCCCAAGGAGTAAAGCTGCAGACTCTGTTTCCCTGACAAAGGCCAATAAATGCTGTTCCCTGTTCAATGTCACTGGCAAACACTGATTTAATTGGATTTGAACAAATGACAGGAGGATCACCTATATAGTTCAAGCTGCCTTCATACAAATTACATAAAATACTTCAAAGCGAGGCAGCAGCAACACAATTCAGTAAATCATAATCAACCTCCAAGAGAAATAAAAGCCAGGAATCACTGCACCAGCAGCTCAGAGCTCTGCAGATGAATTACCTCGAAGCCCACAATGTCAGACTGAAGCACTCACAAAAATAACTATTTTTAACTAAATGCTTTTGGTGATATCTCAGTGTAGACAACTCTTCAGACTCTGCCAAAATCCACACTTGACATTCCATTTGGCTTTGCAGCTACTGCAGATCAAAAGTCACTCTTGATTTCATGGTGGCCCACTCTGCTTATCACAAAACAAACTTGGTCTGCGTTTTTCTCATTTAGTAATCTGGTACTTTAAAAGGTATTTCCCTTTCATACAACAGGTGGGACTTTTAAAGCAGCAAAAAGCATGAATGAAGCACAGTGCCTTTGTACGAAAGAAAGAATGAAGGTGCAAGGAGAGGCTTCCGTGCTAAGGACTTGCCTCTGCTGCTGCCTCGTTTAGGAGGGGCTGGAAGCTGATGGGATGAATGTTTTCTATTGTGATGAACAATTGCAAGGGCAGGTGATGTTGTTCCAGCAATTTTTCTTCAAGCAATCACAACCTCGGGGTGCCATTACAGGATGTCCTAAGCCAGTTTCGCAGAGGTGCTGCTCCTGCCGACCCCTTCCTGCCTTTGCCATCATATCCACACCATCCCCTCAGATCCCAGCATGCTGCCACGTACCTTTTGCCAAATTTAGCACATACCTGACTGCACAATAATCCAATTCATCTCACTCAGCAGCAGAAAAACAGCCTGGCAAAACCCGAGCACGCTGCCATTGTAGTGAGCTCAATCAGCTCACCATGTGATTGAGTGAGTGCCAGAGCCAGCACAAGAGATTTGGAAGGCAGGAGGGAAGGAGGAAAGCTCCTTTTCGGAACAGTAAGCTGGGAATTCAGTTGAACCAGCATGAAAAAACCCCAATAACTCACACCTCCAAGCCAACTGGCCGCCTGCCACCTGCACCATCTCACCACCCATGGCAAGCAGCACAAAGATCAAAGACAAGCAGCTCCTGTGAGCTGCCTCACAACAAATGATTTGATCATCTGAACCAATAAACAACAAGATGCACAGCAAAAATGAACCAGATTGCTAAGATTAAGCCATGAACCACAAACAACCACTGTCTCCACACTTCTTTAACTCAATCTGGCGATTCACCCCACACCACACAGGGGTGGAATATGTTTCATGAGTGTTCTGGCACTTCCTTGGAAGCTTTTACAAACCAGAAAAACAGGTGTCCCAAGCACTCCCCTGGCATGTTCCTGGCTGTTTTCAGGGACTCTGCTCCACAACTCAGCAAGCCATTAATATCAGCAAATTTCAACCATCATCACCAGTGACTGATGTGTCAGAACAGGCACAAACCAGCAGTAAAGCCCCTTAATTCCCATACTCACCATCCATAAGGAGCCAGTGGCCAGTCAGGACCCAGATAAGGACAAGCATCACAGACAGAGAAAACGAGAGCAACTCAGCAGCAGTGAAACGCCCACAGCAGCCAAAGGAAATCCTGGGAACAACACAAACATCAGCCAGAGGGCTTTGTGTTTCCATTTAAAGAGCAGAAAATGGACACTTGGAACAAGGCTCAACTGCTGATGAAAGATGCCAAGAACAACTGAAGGGAAGTTCCTTTGCCACAAGTAGGTACCAAAACAGCAACAAAATAAAAGCTTTCCTCACATTCAAACAGTGTGTATAAAGCATGAACTGCAGAGATGGAAAAAGCCCTGTAAATCTTGGCACCTCTCTTGAAATTGTAACCATGCTATTTCCCTAGCACCACCTAAGATAGTGCTTTTAGCAACATGAACTCCAGCCACAAGGTTAAAAAATAAAATTAGTTTCAAAACAACTGTAATTTTCACTGATGTAACTACAGTCCCCAGAAGAGGCAGCATTAAAATCCAGAGCCCGGTGTTAACGAACATTAAAATCCAATACCCAAATCCCAAACTCTGAAATCTCAGCCAAAATAAGCCAAACTTACTAAAAACCACTGTTGGGAAATCGAGTCCCCTGCAATGGTATCACATTTCCCAGGCTGGCAAGGGCCAGTGACTTGCAGAAATCGTGCTTCCTACTTTCAAAGTGGAAGCACGGTGTTGGCACAAAAACCAGGCACAAACAACAGCCCTGAAGTTAATGCTCATTAGAGAATTCTCTTTAAAAGAAAGAAATACAACACACAAGAAGAGGAGCAAAGGATTGCTCAGGTCCTTACTTGTTCTGAGGTGAGCAAGGCCGTGTTAAGTACTGGCACATCGGGAGCAGAAGGAAAGCAAAAGCTATTGTTGCAAGGACTACAAAAAGAAGAAGAGGTAATGTTAGGACATTCAGATCTGATTTCTACAGTACACAAACAGGCTTCTCCAAGTGGAAAAAGCTCTTGCAACAATGTCCTATTATCATATGCTCAGTGTTATTACAGCAAGAGCAGCTCAAGGCTCTGAGGTTTTCTGCAGAACAGTGGCTTTCAGACTTCAATGAAATGAAAGCTCTCAAAGGAATTCAATGCCCCATCCCCAAACCTTAAAAAAAGTCTTGAATCTATTCATGATCGTGTCAGCAAGAAAAACAGTTTTCACATATTCTGGGAGTCGGAAAAAATCTTACTACAAACTGGTTGTGAGACTCTTTGAAAATTCTTTAACATTCAACACAGACTAAGAGCATAATAAAGGATTTTTTCCCACTTTTTAACTCAGATAGTAATTTTTTCCCCCATCTCACTCAAACCTTTTTATTCATTACTGAAACACAGTACAACTTCAAATAAGTTATAGCCAGTAGCTGGCAACTTCACTTTTTTAAAACACAAAGTGCTTTAAGGTTTTGAAACCAGGACGATAAAAAGACATAAATATCCAAACAGACTATTTCCATAAACATTTTCTTTTTCAGGCAGCATACTTATCCCACCCACACATTTGTAAAAGCATTTAGGAACTGCTGGTATTTATAATCATTTTTCCTTCCATTTTTTTTTTAAAGGGCTGTTTAAAAGGCTGGAGCTCGAGGGCGTGGAGACACAGACATGTCAGCAGCACATCCCAAACTGCTGCAGCAAGAACACACTGACATGAAAATGGAAGGCACTTGAAACCTTCTGCATCCTTCAGATCAGATCTTTGTGCTGTCCTCTACTTATTCCTTTAAAAATTTGGGATGGCTGCTGCTGGTTTTTAAAGGGGATTTTTTTTCTCTTCTCAATGAAGATGAAGAGTCAAACACTCTCTTCAGAACACAGTTTCAGCCAACTGGAAAAAGGAATTGGTTTGGTCAAACCACATCTTTCCTTTCGGGTGGGAGGAAGGTTAAAAACAAAACAAAACAAAAAAAAAAGGAGAGATCAAATAATCTAAAAAGAAAATTTAAGAAGTGTCTGCATGCAAACAGCACCAGGAAAACTCACAGTTCTGTCAGTATTTCTGAGAGGGGGACAAAAAGCAGAATGGGCAGGGCAAGAATGAAGAGTGTGGCAACGCTGCACACGCTGACACAGCACAACCTCAGCTTCAGGGGACAGAGGGACCAAGTCCAAGACCAGTCCCAGGTTCCCAACTCCAGCAGGGTCCCCATCCTGCTGAACAGCCTCTAAGGACACTTTGCATTTCAGAGGTTCTGGGCGTAACAACACTCTCTGATGCAAGCCCAGGGAAAAGCACAAAAGTACCATAAAACCAGGTTCAAGAACAAAGTTACCCAGGAGCACTGATCCCCAATCCTCTGAACCTGCAACAAGCCCCAACTGATCCTGCAGTTACACACACAAATGTTACAAATGTCAAGGTCATTCGGGAAATAAATGGACCAAGAACCCTGACCGAATTTATCTTTTGACATAAATCTTCCCTTATAATATCTTGTATACTTGTGTGTAAATTCCCCTAATATCTAGCATGTACTAGAATTAATCTGAAGTATTTTTTTTAATAGGAAAGAAGATGTGTGTCATAGGTCAAAGTTATAAAAGCAGAATTCAACAGGCCTCTACAGGGGGTACAATTAGTCTCAAGACTAGAGATTCAGATTTCACCCATTAACATCAGCCCTGTTTAGGAGGCTGGAGAGGATGCACAGCTCAGGAGTTCAATCATGAGGGAAAAGCCTGCAATGAAAATATGTGAAGTGGGAGAGGATGAAAGGTATTTGGGGGTTTAAAAAGCTTCATGGGCTCAGTATGTGGACTGAGTACAATTTTTAGAAGCTGCTGCATCTCTGGGGCAGTAGGAAGAATCTTGCTACTATCAACAGTAGCTGGTCTCTTGAAAAATTGCAAAAAGATCAAAAGGCCAAAATTTTTCAGAAAGCAAAGCCCTGGTATTTATTTAAATGACAAAATGTAACCAGTAAACACGAGTGGAGGATTTGCAATTTTTTCGCAGATAACAGTTTCAATTTTGTTCTAAATTCAAGCAGTGCAAAAGACTAACACTCAAATGCTCATGAGACCACAAGTACTCTTGAAACAGAAAAACTGCACGAAAGCAAAATTAAACTAGGAAAAGAAGTCTCTGGGCAGGATCCCCAGAGTTATTTCCCATAAAGTATCTGAATTATGAAATACCACATACAGTTCTGAGCACCAATTTATAAACAAGTGAACTTCATGCAAAATAATACATCTGGCATCTTTAAAGCTCTGGCAATTTATAGTTCAGAAGGTTTAGCAAATCTCTAAGTGGAAAATACTTCTCAAATAATACTTATCACTTTATTTATAGCTACAGAGACATGGAAATACAACTGTGAAATCTGATGATTCTTTTTTTAATGTACTGTGGCAAGTATTACAATTCTTATCAACAAAATGTAATGACATCAGTACTTTCTGCTCTATTCCAATTCTTAGAGAGAAAAAAAAACCTTAGTCACCTGCTGTGCATATTGTAAAGACAACTTGAACTGAGTCAAAGAAGAAGAACATGACTAGGAGAGACACGGACGCTCCGATGGGCAGGAACAGCGCCTGGGTGGAATCAATGGTTTGAATACCTGCAGGAGAGAGAAGGGACACTTAACTCTCACACACACTCCCAGCTGGCCCTCAGCAGCACCAGGGAGGGCTCTGACAGCACGTTCCACTGCACCCCGGGATCCTGGAGCTCTGTCACAGCCAGGCCCAGGTGTCTGTGCAGACACGCCCCGGCCGGGCGAGCACAGCAACAGCCCTGCTCTGTAGAACCCAAGGGCTGGAAGAAAATGTAGGAATTTTCACTTGTGCCACAGAGAGAATGAATAACAAGTTATGAAAATTAACATTACTTAGGGATTAGGACATAGCAGTTATATGTTTGCTTCACTTTACACTGAGACACAGAAATGTGTAGGGCAGAGCACAGGAAAGGTTTATTGAACCCCTCAGCAGGAGGGGAAGAGCCTGACCAGTGTCAGGCTGTCCCAGCTCATGCAAAGGGTGCCACAGCTTCAAATTCCACCTGGGTGAAGGCCACCAGGCACTTAAATTGCATCACAGGCTGCACTCACCAGATAACATCAAGCCTCATAATAATAGCCAGTTTCCAAAAATCGCATTTACCTGTTTGTGAAACCCCCAGCTCAGAGCAGAGCTCTACAATCCCTTTCTGCTAAAAACCACCATGAACTCAGGCTCACATTTTATAGCTGGCAGCAATTTTAAACAGTGCACAGATACTGAAGTATTTTATTATTTCCCCCACCTCAAGCCTGCAGTGTAACCACTGCGGATGTTAATAATGGGACATTTTCTACTGCATTTTACCATGAGTTTTTAGAATTACTAACAAAATTGAGAAGCCCATCTATTCCCACACAGTCCAACAATTAACCAGTCTCTGTAGCTGTATTTATATTTGATCCCTGGAGGGGATAGAAGCTGTAAGCAATAACCCAATTAAAAATCTAAGACACAGTTATTCTTGTAAAACACTAAAATCAGGTAACATCTGAAGTAGTCACTTGATAAGTGACCGGTGAAAAATAATACAATACTCAGACCTAGAAGAGATATGAAACCAGCTGAATATCACTGTGTTATCCCAAAATAATTAGACATGGCTGTATGAAGGGGGTTTTAAGGATCTTAAGGATAAGCTTTTAGATTGTCAAGCAGAATATAGCGATATAACCACACAGGAAAATATACACACATATTGCTTATGTGTGTGTGTTTCTGTGTAAGAATGTGTCTTTAAATAACAGGTTACCTGCACAACTCAGTTACTGATGTATCTGATTATGTTGAAAAACCTCACACTCCCATGAAACACGCTCACAACAACCTCTCTGTCATAAATATCCAACCATTTCCATAAAAGAGAAGCTAAACAACGAGCAGGGAAGTCGTGACACCTGCACTGTACACCCATTTATTAGTTCATGTCGCGATCTATTATTCTTAAACATAAGCAGCACAGTAAATTTTAAAAATAAAAAGCAGAGGAACTCAGTCCCTTGGGATTTCTGCATTGCTGAGGTCTGGTACAAAAAGGTACAGTGCAATACAGACAGTGCAGTGATGACAGTGTGAGGACACAGAAATCCTAATCTGTGACTTAGATCTGGTTCTCCTGCTCTGAGAAAGCACATTTATTCACATGCCCTTCAACTTCTCAAGGGAAAAACTGAACACAACAAAACCCCAGAAATGACACACTACACACCACCTTGGCATCTGGGAATTAGTGCCTGCAGCATTAAATGTCAGGGCTCTTCGTTTCATTTCTGATCATTCTGACAGCTAATCCCCTTAATGTGCTTATTTCCCAGCCCCAGACTGTCTTCCCTCACTGCCCAGATGCCAAAAGCCTCAACTGTTCATTGCTGAATCACCAAGCACAGCAACCTCTTTGCTCTGTGCTGCCAACAGAAGCAGTGTCTGACAACTATGTAAATTCCAAGAGTCTATTTTAAAAAAGGCAAAAAAAGCAAGAGACACATAAAACATATGTTATTTAATTCATAATTTTAAAGCTATATTTCTTACTTTAAACAAAACAAGCTTGGCATTCAGGGTTTCATGCACAGGGCTTCTCACTTATCTCACTCCTGCCTTCTATATTTGAGGAAAATATTTCATTCTAGAGCCCATTCTCAGAAGATGGCCACATAAATTGTTATAAGGTAAAATCAGGTGTGAATTTACAGCACACTGTGCACAGTGTGTTCCACTCTAACTGTTCACTTCCATATTTTTACCTGCAAAACAGTGCATCTCCAGTGGCCAAGCTGCCTGGAACCTATTTATAGCCCACAGAGGGGACAGTCCCCCCGCAGGAGCTGACATGTTAATCCCACGCTGAATAGACAGTGCAGACACGTATTTTTTGTCCATTATAAATGAGTTGCCCAAAGCCCTGTGAACTCTCTTCTTCAGTTTCTCCACTGACAAGGCTGAATCATCCTCGGGGGGCTGTCAGAGCACCCCACGGCCTCTCCCTGCCCCCGGACTGGCCAACACATCACAGCCACACAGAAAGGAATTACATTCCCTTCTCACTCTGGGGTGGCTTTTTCAAAGCAAAGCTGTTTCCCTTTCCAGCAGAACATGATGAATTGTGCACATGCAATTTTTATGCATTACGGAAATGCTGATGTTTAAAAAGAGGCTTCCACGGGCACAGACCAGACACAGAGAGCAGTGAGAGGGCACAGCGAGGAGGGAAGTGCCCAGGGATCCCTTGGATCAGGGGAATCTGCAATGCAGCAGCTGGAACACACACCCAGGGGAAGCAGAAGGTGCAGGACACAAGTGAGGGAAGGAAGACAAGGAGTAAAGCTGACCCTTACTGTTATTGGTGCTGTTGCCATTGAAGGACCCAGTGGTGCTGCTGTTGTCTTTCTCTTTGTCTTGATTCTCAAAGTCCATGTTCAGAGACCTGCAGGAGCAAAGCAAACGGAACAGAGAAGATTTAAACTCCTGTTTAGGCTCATTCCCATTGGTCTCATTCCCATTCTGCCACCCTCTCCCTGAAAAAGCCCTGCAATGCTGGTTATTAGAAACTACACCAAACGCTCCGGCAAATTAGGATAAATGAAATGCTCAGTTACAGATAAGGCACCAAATCACAGGTTCTGACAGTGAGACCTTTCACCAGTGCCTGCACTGGGGAGTGTTAAATATCTTTGCTGTGCTTTGTTGTTAGCTGCATTTCTGGGGAGTGTAGAACATGATGGAAGCACAGTAAACATTTCAATTCTCTGGTGAATTTGAATTCTTTCCAAGTTCTCATTTGGTTCCTTTTCATTCAAATTTAACTATTGGTTTCATTTTTAAGACAATATTATTGCCTCCCTCTAAATGTTGCTATAAATGATGACCCAAACTGGCTTACAAGTAAATTGTCTGCTGAATGTAAGGCCCTACTTCATTGAAAAAACTTCAGCAAAGCCTAGATTTTTACATACACCCAGAGCAGATACCTAGAGGAAGCTTTGAATAAACAGGACAAATTGACATAATTTAATTAATCCACAGGAGCTGACAACACTCCCCTGTGTAGCCAGCTCAGCTGTTATTGAGTCATCTTTTCATTTTGATATACACACTTCTAAAAAGTTCCAAAATAACACAGTACTCTACTGCTTTTGCCACAGTCCTTCACTTTGATATAACTTGTAAATTATATTCTAACAGATTTGGCATGGCTTTCTGAAACAGGGGAATTTCACTTAAGGTCTCTTTTGACCAGCAATACTTTCTACCACTAAATTCTACACACTTTTTAATAAAAATACCAGCAATCAAGTTTACCATGAGAATTTCTCATTCAGATGCACGTATGTTATCCATGATTTAGCTGCATATTTATTTATTCAAATAAGCTACAGAGAAGCACCAGAAGCACTGGTCTTGTCTTAAGTCTGCAGCAGCATCCAAGTATTTCAATAAAACTTCCAGGTCAACAGGCATTAACTCCTTTTCAAGTTTAGCTGTAACTGTGCTATGCTAAGTAAACAAATTCGATTAATTTATCAGACAAGTAATAAATACACTGTGATCTTCTAAACAATTCCAGGGGCATCAGAGCTATTTCCTTTCAGTGCATTGGTCACCCACTGCAATGCACAGCTGAGTGAGTCTGTGCTGCAGTCCTGGAGCCAAAATCAAGCACATCCAGGTCTGCAGGACCAAGACAGGTGGGGTGTATTAAGGACAGAGGGGTTGAGCAGCTTCACTGCATAACACAAAACCAAGAAAAGGCTCTTCCAGTATAGAACTGGTTTGTTTCCTTTGCTTCTATTAAGGAAGTGCTCCCCAACAGTGATATGAGATTTAAGCAGCTTTTGGGCTCAGGCTGAATATGAGGAAGCTTCCACTTCAGACATACAGTACTTGTACACAGATGATGGATCATCACCCAAAGAGCTATCAAACATACAAAGAGGCAATGGAGAACACTAAAATTCTAACCTATTAATCTGTTGTTCTGAGCTTGTTCTTCTAAAGATCTCTCTGCTCTGCCTCTTGTTTGGAGTGCCTCCATCCCTCATCCACGCTCCCTTTTCCCCCATTATCCATTGTAGCTTCATAATTTTCCTCTCAAGCTATAAAAATCTGGGAGGAGGCTGACAGCCCTCCAGGCCTTGCTCCAAGATTCAGGCAAACAACATCATTCTTTTCTCAGCGCAGCGTTCCATTCCCCTCTGAATTAGAGCAGTTTAGAACTTCACACCATCATTCTCCCAGTGGCATCAGGCAACTCATAATTTAAGGGATTGCTATCAGCAGAGAAAACTGGAAATAAAAACTATTAGATCTACTGCTCATAAACAACCTCAGCCCCTCTCCTTTCACTGCAATGGTGTCAGCAATTATTATTACCTAAAACATCCCTGCCTCAAAAGTAAGCATAAATTAGGAAATTACTTTCACTTAGCAACACAGCTACTGATCCAAGCCAACTCCCCAACTGTTTTATGATTTGGCTCTTCCCTCTGCTACAGATTATCACTAATATAATAAAAAAAATTGAGAAGTGATCACCAAAACACCCTCCAAGAAAGCTAAAAATTATATTGTAAAAAAAGATTCCCCAAACTACTCGACTGAAGAGAAATGACAAGTTGGGAAACATTTGCTGTTTTGTTCAAGTTTCTCCTGAGCTTCCAAAGGGAATGTTGGGCCAGCACCTCCCATGGGGCACTGAACTGCTCTGTTGTTCCTCCTGTGGGTCCCCACAGCTCCATCTGGGAGGATTTCCAGCGCAGTGTTTCAGAGCAGGCAGGAGTCCCTCCCGCAGGGAACCGCTCCGGAGGGTCACGCCGAGGCCACAGGAGTGAGTAAGCTGCTGGCACGTCACTATCATGGAAGTTCAGATTCAGCTGTGGATCACTTCCACTGCAGCCATGCCTCGGGGAACCCCGCAGGACATGTTTGTATGGAACAATGGAGGGAACAGGAAGGCAAGGATGTATCTACAGAGGCGCCTGCAGACACAACACACGAAGAAATTCCTTCTTGCTCTGCTCGTGAGCACAGTCACCATCTGACAGCACTGGGGCTGTGGGAATGCCAAGCTGTAAGTCCAACCAGAAGCACTCCATGTTCACATGAACTCTAAGTTCACCATGTGAGCTACTTTCTATTTACAAATGCTTTGGATACCCAAAGCCTGGAGATGGAAAACTCCAGTTCATCCCATGCTTTGCTTTGGTTTAAAAGCAGGTACTGGGACAGGTACATTCTGGGTTTAATCTGGCTTTACATAAGCTGAGACACCAAGTCTGGGGAAGTGATAGGATAGAAAAAGATTTAGCTGTTACCTGCCTGCAAAGTAACCCCAACATTTAAGTCCCAGAGAAGCATTTGGACAAGAATAGGTGTCTGCCCTGCCCTAGGAAACAACCTGTTTCAAGCTGAGCTCACCTCTTTAGAAATCCATAACTAACACAGATACTTGCACTCCCGTTTACAGCTTGCGAGGGTTTAAAGGATTAGCCCTGCCCCTTTGGCAGTCAGTAATGAAAGGATGTCAAGTTCAAGGACCGAGAGACAGTCAGAGTGTACATGGCAGAGACGTTCCAAAGGGCTGGAAGCTAAAACTCCTGACCCGGAACAAACGTTGGAAGGCAATGCTCGTTCATCCACAGTCAGAGAAGGGGAACTCAACTCTACCAGCTGCACTTCATTCTAGATGTGGGCTTTACCCAGGATTTATTAGACACTCTTCTGGCTATACTGAGGGTTTGGGATACTTTGGTTTGTTTTGGTTTTGGACAAATGCTGTCTGTGTGAACTAGGACACTGGACCAAAGCTTTCCTTCATTCCCCCGAAACTTCCTGCATTAGATTAGATCCACCAGGCACGTGGATTTTATCCTAATGACTCACCCACCCAATTCTTTCTGATCCTATTACTGCACTTCTGTTTCAGTCACTTGCCAGCAACACCACAATAACTCTACCCGCTTCTTTCCAACTGAAAATCAGAAACCAAACCCACTTTCTGCCACACAGAGGTTAATAAAGGAGTGTTATTTTCTTTTTGTCTCATGACAGCTCCTTTAAAGACAAAGCACTCAAGTCTAGGTGACATCACTGCTGTCATATGAGAACAAGCACCCTAAGCTGTAACTTTCATCTTTCCAGCAAGACACTTTCCTAAGAAAATTCAACCCCTTCAACAGAAATTTTTGTTTTACTTCTTTAGGAATCTCCAACTGAATATAATTCTGTAACTTACTATCACTCTTTAATTTCTTAAATAACGTAACTGTGTCTTTGTCAGCACCACTGTAAAATTTTCTCTATAAAACTGCTTTTGACCTCATCCTTGACTGAGCAGAACTGGAGCCTGTCCAAGTCTCCATCAGAACTCTGGGGTTCAGCTCAGACAACTGCTAAAGAAACTGATACAGGAAATTAATTAGGAAAGTAATTTTAAACATATGGGACCCCATCTTGATCTACAACAGGTTGCATCTTGGGGTTTTCAGGATACATGCAAACAAGTGGCCTAGAACAGGACATTTCCTTGAGGGATTTGTATCCATCACCATTGCACCACTTCATTGGGTAAGTTGGACTGCTCTGAAGTTCACAGTCCTTGCTACGTGAGTAGTTTTAAATGTAAAGCATAGGACAAGATGGTAAAAGGGCATGTGCAGATACAAATAAGATGGCAAACAGCAGGGGAAAATTTTTAAGAGCAAGGAACTCCAGGAAGGACAAGCAATTGAAGTTCAAGCACTCCTGCTGTTTTATATTGCATTATGTCCTCATAATTGAATTTTAATAAATGCTACAGCTTCTTGCAGCCAGATGCACAGTTCCTTTTCACACAACTGCATAAATTCCAATAGTTAATAATTTAATTAGTCCCACAACTAAATGCTAATCTAACTCAAAGCGTGATGAAAAAACTAAACAAATACAACCTTTTATTACTTTTTTGTTCTAATCACCTCTAGATTTTGTTTTCCTAAGGCCTTCTATTTGAATTCCAGCAGCAGTGCTGTTACCTAATGCTTGCTATCAACAACAGACAGCTCTGGCAAAAAATTGGCTCTTTCATTATATGACTTTATTAACTTATGATGGTGATATAAAACCTCTTATCCTGACAGCTGCAACTCTCATCATGTGTATGACCACAGCTATCATCGACTTCAGGAGCACTCACAGCAGTTCAGAGACTCTGCATTGACTGGATGGCCTTTTATCACAGACTTGTGAAATGAAGCACTGCTCTTCAAGGAGCAGAAAGAAAAACATGCTGTATCTAAGTTTTAAAAAAATAATACTTTCATGTTGTGATTTTTTTTTTTTAATATGTCAGGATGAGCCTCATTCCTCAGGTGCCACTACAGTGCAACAAGCTGGATAATACCACGTGCAAGTCTAAAGGGACAACTGTGTTTTCTCTAAACTATACTCAAGTCTCCTAAAATGAGGCAAATTTGATTTTTGAAGATTCAAACTCATCCTGCAGCAGTTCTCAGATGCTCTGCTGGAATTCAGCACTGCAGTTTCCCCACTCCTGTATTAAGCTGTTCCCCAGGCTGGAGCAAACAGCAGTGGGACCTGTGTGCCAGGCCTTGTTTGCCATCCCACGAGGACACGTTCCATCAACCAACACTGAACCACAGATAAAATTCTGCTATCCATACCATTCCCTTCTATCTCTCTCAACAATCCTTTAATACCCTCCAGAATACAATTTTACAGAGCTGTCTTCAGAGACTGACTTTTCAGTTATCTCATACGTGTTTGTACTCTGACATGCAGTCACATCTTTCAGAAGCCCCAGCTCGCTACTGTTTCTTCCTTTTCCATTTCCTTTCCAGAAGCAAAACCATTTCATTTACATCACAGCCATCAGTGTGACAAAAGTACTATGAACTAAAAGGCATAAATTGTATTCAGTCATTTGCAATATTTTTATTTGAAAAATAAAAATTTTACAGAACTTTAAGGAAAAATCTTACCTGAAACTGCCATAGACTATGAGGAGAATAGAAATCAGGAAGGTAGACACTTGACTGGAATCCACAAGGGAATACGCCCTGGAATCAGGAAAAAGAAGGCAGGTGTGTCATCATGAGTGTCCATTTCTCCAGTGCCATTTGCTAATTCTTTTTCTCATCATACTACAAATAGAGAACTGGATGACAAATCTTTACGGCAGCTCTCTCTGAAGTTCTCATTTTATCTAGGAACATAAAACCTGTACCTTGTAAATTAATTTTTATATTCCAGACTGCAGCATGCAAACCCTGTACAACCACCAAAGGGCAGCTCAAAAGCCTTGTGGTAATTTATTCTGAACTCACCAGATTCAGGTTTTTTCCCTGAAACTCATTAAAATTGCTTCAATTACAACTACTGCAGCCCTGCACATCGGTGACAGTAACCTGTTTTCCACAAGACTTCTTACATCTCAGCTGACAATGGTTAAGTGACAATACAGCAGCTGAGGCTCATTTAGGCAGGGAGAAAAAAAAAAAAAACAAAAAAAAGGAGCCCCCCAAAAGCAAAGCCCAAATGTCACAACAAGCTGCAATATTCCTTTATTAAACCACAGACAATTCCTTCCCTATTGCATCTTGCAGACCACTTGATACAGGATTACTGAGGGACATCTCAGCAGGAGGCTTAAAAAGCAGCTTTATCTGGGTTGATTTCCTGCTCTAACACACTGTGGGTAAAGCATGGAAACAGGAATATTAATATAGCAGAGGGTCACTGTGCTGGGAGGGCACAGCGGGCAGGGAGAGGCTCTGGAGCCACTCCACAACTCCCAACAGGTTATCCACAACCTGTGCTGAATAATGGAAAAGAGCAAGAACAATCCCCAATGGTAAGTGCATTATATCCTACAAAAAGGATAACTAAACATTTCTGAAAACCAACCAAAAGGCCTAATTTCAACAAGACGATGGATATGGAACAAAGAGAATTGAATTACATGATTGTTCCAAATTAAGTATCACTGAGCAAATAAAAACTGAAGATACCAGACAGTTACAGAATCACTCATCCCATCCCCAATTTAAAAGCAATTTAGAGAAAATTTCCAAACCACCAGACACACAGTTTAAAATACTTTCTTTTAATACATAAACACAAATGCGAATCTTCTACTGCAGAAATTCAATATTAAACATCACTGACAAAGAGCCACTTTTAGATGAAATTATATGCTTGTGAATTAAGCTTTTAAGAAATTAGAAACTACTTTGGCTAATTACCATAAATAACTTCAACATAACCCCACACTATAAGTGAAAAACAGAGATCTTATTTGCTCATAATGTTGGCCAACACATAAAACCAATCTTGAGCTTTATATATTTAATTTTTTTGGTCATGTTTGACCTTTAGTTCCCAGGCTGTGGAACAGAGGTCTTAAAAGGATCCATGAAGATCAAGACACTGAATTGCAAATACATGCAACATGGAACTCAGCACTTACAACCAGTGTACATATAAAAGTTCAGGTTCTGCACAATATAGTTCACAGCATATCATTTTTATCCAGTGGTTACAGCTAAGCTCACACCAAAAAGGAACAGCTTAAGGATAATTACACTAGTTTTATGTCCCTCACCAAACCCTGTGCAAAGGGAAAGTGAAGCTTTGTATTCTGTTTGGATTTGAGAATAAATAGTGGAATTCCACTATTGAGAGAACATTCAGAAAATCCACATTTACGAGAAAAACAAAATGATTGAGAGGAATTTCAACTGGTATCAAACACGTCCAGGGTTGTGCACTGAACTTCATTAACTGATGTTCATAAAATTGCATCTTCACAAATTGGCAAATACTTTTGAGATGAACAGCGTTTTCCATGTAATTCATCATTCAGTGACAATTTTGGAGGCTAGGATAATTAATATGCCATTTCATCACAATTACTAAACATTAGTCAAAACAAGGCTGTAAATGTTAAAAAGATTCATAAAACAGATGAGATACGGATGATACCCAGATCAGGCCTGTGCATGATCCATTAAGTTTTGTACTTTGACTGAGGGCCCTTTGGCACAATGAAAGAAGCCGAATAAATGCAACCCCATCCCGAGCAGGGATCCAACACAGCCCAACCTGCTGACAGGCTGCAGTGGGGAGCAGGGTTCTGTGCAAGGGGGAAATGGGAATGACAGCCCATCCATCCTGCACGGGAGAAGTGCAATGGTGCAATTAAAAACTCATCCCAGACCGGTGCCATCTCCTGCCTTCTCCCCGCAGAGATCTCTACAGCAGGACATCCTAAAAACTCGGGGTTGCTATCGCTGCTGTGGGCTGGGAAAATTCATCCTCGCTGATATTCCAGCAAACAGGGCCAGGGAGGTACAGTCACACTTTCCTTCTTCCTGAGGCAGTTGGAAAAAGAACAAGGCAAAACACACACAGTGGATGACAGGCTGAGCCAAGGGAGCAGCTCGGGCACGTCCAGATTCCAGCCAAAGTTTCCAACACAAGTAACCCACAAACAAAGTCCAGGAATGATTTTACAGTGCGGAAGTGAAGCTCATTGTAATAAAACCCTGCAACTTTTTAACATCTACTTTCCCTACATTATATAAGGTATTGCACAAAACCTGAAACCAGAACTGCTTTCTAAAATCCTAACCACTGACTGGATAGACAGTTTGTTAAGTGACTAAAAATCCTGGATCCCAAATAAACACTTCCTAACACATTAATCTAGGCCAGAGGTAATAAGCAAATGACTATCACACGAAAGAATCAAAAAGTAAGATTACTTCCATTCAAAATGACAGTGATCTGTAAACCCATCTGTAATTTTTACTGAAATTTAAATGACCTTCTGCAAGTCCACCAGATTCCATATGCATATAACTGGATTCTCCTATAGGCATATTTCAAATATTCAAGTTCATATACTCTCCCAGACAAACACGGCATCAGGGCCATGCTCTTCTCAAGTGGGATCAGCCCAAACCAAAACAAAACCCCACACTACTGATGTTTTTTCACAAGTTACAGCAGACTTTGTGCAGCCACATTTAACCAGCCTTCCACTGCACATACAGAAACGAAATCAGCTTCCTTCTAACAAGGTATTTTTGTAAAACTGTTTAATCTTGGAACAAGTCATGGAAACTCGTGCACATAAAACACCCGTAGCAAGCCTGTGCATAGTTGTCCTTTGACTTAAATACTGATTTTAAATGCAATTCTTAGTACTTGCTACATGACAAAGAAAAGATCATTATTCTTCATTCTCAATCTGAAAATTAATACTGGGTAAGGCCATGCTAAAGGTTCCTTTGAAGACTGACTTCAGTCAGTTCAGGTGTGTGCCATGCTACAAGAACAACTACCAGCCCGGTTCTGCACTCCAGTACATACCCAGAGCACTGCTCAAAATGCAAAGTCAACACTGGTTTTCCCAAGGAAGCACATTTTTTAGGATTCTTACGCTGAAATTCAACATCCATGTAAGGCAGTTGGTTTAGAAGTTATTTAATCAGGCTATCAGATTCTTGCTCAGTCAAGTAACAAATAACTAATTACTAGACCCAAGTATTTTATAAAACCAAGCACTCTGCTGCCTTAAGTCCCTTTTCTCAGCCAGCCACTGAGAGGTGACTTCCCAAACACTTCTTCTAGTTAAGATCTGACTCTGAACCTGCATCTTTACGAGGCAGAGATCAATTTTCACAACTTCTCTGCCATGAGGCATCTATTTCTGGCAGCTCCAGGGGCAAGTGCTCCAAGCACAGCGCTGCGAAGGCATGCCAGGGCAGAGACACAGCGAGCACTGTTCCATAACATATTCTGTGAGTCTGCCCTACAGCCATACAGTGCAAGTATTGTCTGCACAACAATCCAAGCAGCGAGCTCTCCAGCCTGGCACAGACTGCTCCATAGACCTTTACCTACAGAACAATTCCAGGGATGCCCGGCCCTTGGGACACACCACCACTTCCAAACAGCAGCCATGCAAAACACACCACGCCAGTTACAGCTGGCGTTCCAAGCAGGACTCTCCCCTCTTCGGGGAAAACATGAATAACTTCTGTATTCCCAAGGGAACAGAGACCCACTTCATTCCCAGCTAGAGAAGATGGGAACCAGCTAATGGAAGTTGCCACAACAACAGTAATAGTGCCACATGAGAGACACTTGCAAGCTCTTTTCTCTGCAGGTCCAGCTCTTTTCCCCTGTCCCCCCCCGGTCCAAGCTCACCTGTCTTTGGGAACATTCACCCCACAAGGTCTGCCCACTGTTCTCCTAGTCTGTAATCACTTTTTAATTTCTCTGGCTTTGTTTTTAGTTTTGCACTTCCACTCAAGAAAATCGCTCAGTCAATGCAAGCACCGGTTTTCACCTTTCAGATGAGCAGTTTCTGGGTAACAGTCCTTCCAAACCAGCAGAACCACCCTCAGGCAAAGCCTGGTACTTCTTTTTGCCCTCCCTGTCGAGCAATAAATATCTGCAACTTGCTTTGTTCAGTGAAGACCCAGAGAAAGGCAGAACTAGGAACCAAAGGCATCTCTAGCTGACAGTGCAGAGCATTACCCTCAACACAACCCACTTGTCACGGGCCAGGCTGACCTGACCACAAGCCAAAACTGCCATTACAAAAGCAGCTTCTCATCTATTCCAGACACCTGTTCTTCTTCATACCGTGCCTGCATAACCATCTGCAAAACCACACACAAAACCAGACTGGGGAACCTGTCTGCCCGAATAGTGATGAAGAGTGAATGGGAAACTTTCTCAAGAGATTTAGATTCCTGATATGGCCCGTTTCTGAACATAAAATCAAAGAGGAAAGACTGTTCAGTGGCAGCATTGGCTTAAGCACCCCCAAATTATTGCCCAAGACATCAGGGAAGTTTTATGTAACTAGAATGAAAACCTCTTTCTGTTTGCACAAGACATCTACTAAATATATGATCAAAGAAATTCAGCCCCTCGATGTTTCAGGAGCAAGTATCACTCCCTGACTTCCAGGTACAAGATTGTGAGGAATTCTGCCAAGGGGGAATGGGAAGCCTGTGCCCTGAAGTTTCCATAGCAATGCAAG